AACCCCAAATCGTAAGTCTAACCCTAGCCCTGAACAATGATCCCAACCCTAATGCTGAGGTCACATTTCCTAACCGGGGCCCGACCGGGCTGTTTAGATTAACGCACAATAAACAAATTTTATCAATAATATATGCAAATAATTTTCATATTAATTTTTATAACTCTTTTTGTGCTTTGTTGTCTTTTATACCATATTTTTCGTTCCATAAGACTGCCCGGCCGGGCCCCGGTTTGGAAATGTGACCTCAGCATAACCGAAACCATAACTCTACCAACCCTAACCCTAACCATAGCGTAAACAACTGACCTCTTACGTATATACATTGTATGTGGAAGGTCAAGGATTTGGCTCAACACCAGACCATCTGTACATGTAGACCGATGGGATACGGAAGGGTAACGGGAACATTTGCCGTCCAGACCCGGAAATTAAGCCGCACATTCCGCGAGCCGGGCAGAGTCAATTCCATGTATAGCATCCCCTAGCGACCCGACATGGAATTGTCTGGAAATAATTTTCTTCTGCAATGAGCATTTTATGGTAGAGACATGGTCATTATTGGAGAGTTTTATGAGGCTTTTATGATGCTCATATTGCTGACGTTTTGCAGAGTTTTTCCCAACTAGTTCAATTGATTATACTGAATTGATTTTTTATGTAAAGTATCTCCCAATAGCCAAACTTAAACATCTGAAAAATAGCTTGCTTTTTCCGTTGTAACATGTTTATTTTTCCACAATTTCAAGATGATTACGAATTTTTTTAAATCATTTTGCAGCAGCTTACAAAAGGCATGGTTTGCAGTAGCTTGTCGCCAGCTGGTGAATATATTTCACCAGAAAATCTGAAATAATTGCGCCGGTGGATGTCACCTTTAAACGTGACGTAAAACATGGCCAGCATTACCGGAGGCGCGACCACTGTCATGTGTCATTGTCAGGTACGGAGAATGGACATTTTTTCCCCGCCAAACAGCAGACTAAAATCGATGTAAGCAAGGCCCAGGCACATATGTCATATGTCAGGCTAACATCAGACAATTGGGGACATTCTTGGGGACAGTCGTGAATTTCTCGTGCAACAACCGATCGACTATGTCCTCCGACAAAAAGGTTGACAAATTATTCTTTCATAGCTTCGCTGAAAATCGACAAAGACAGAAAACTCTACAGATACCAATAATATAATATATAATATTAGATTTATTATTATAATAATATTATTATATTATAATAATAATATTACAATAACTCTACAGATACCAATACCCAAACCTCTGCCAAGCAGAGGTTTGGGTATTGGATTATTTTCGGCGTGTTTTATGCTTTTTATCAGACTTTCTTTTATATCTTTGGAACTGGTATCTCGTTTTAAAGATACATGACGTGCAAAAAATAGAAAACCCAATAAAAAGCCTAAAACACTTTAAGCTGATGTGTTACTCCGAATGTCGGTTATACCGGCTATACTGATACAGATACAGAACACACCAAAAAATAAGCCAAAACCCAAACCTCTGCTAGGAGAGTAAGACAACTTGACGTCTGTAGCCGCGGCCTGAACTGCGTTGCCCAGGCCCAGTGTAGGTAAAACGAACGGCAGTCCCGGAGCGGTAATGCCGCCATAGACATGCTGAACACGTGATGACGGATGGACGGCGGTACGGCTCAGGTTCAACCAGAGGACACGGGGAGGTGGGGGGGGGGCGTCTGCCTGAGTTCTGTAGGTTATAAAGCAATCACGTCGATGAAGGTTAGACATCCAGGTAATAAGATACGCCAAAAGGCCAAAAAGTCTGACCGTTTCCAAAATCATATCCAGTTGCTTGAGTAACTGCTTTTGGTATATATAGAAAAAACGAACAACTTAATGAATACATTTATGGATGTACTTGGCTTAATATCATCATTTGGCGACTTATGACATTTACAAAGTGTTTATAGTTCCATTAAAGTGTCACACCGTGAATTGGATTACACACACACACACACACACACACACACACATATATATATATATATATAGCTATCTTCTTGTCAATTTTTGGCTTAAAAATTTACCAAAAGAATGCAACCCATATCTTTGTGATATTTTGTCTGATCATCTTTGTGATATTTTGTCTGATCTCTACCTTCCTCATGACCTCAATGAAAAGTGGCTAGCAGGACGATATTATTTTTTTCAGGAATAAGCAGAACCTTAATGAATCAACTTCTTGTATTGTCCCTACTTGACTTTGACGACGTTGATTGAAAATTATTGATTGATCGATTGTCCGATAGGTTCATGATGGGGTCTGGGCAGCAGTAGCCAGACGAAGGATGAGGTCATGTTTGAGGCGGTGGAGCGGGACTGGTAACGCCGGCCGTGGCGCCGGGATAACGGCCCTATCGGTCGTACGGTCACTGTGGAGGAGATATAGGTCAGACTGGCCGTTAGGCGAGCCGGGGATGTACAGGGTTCACGCAGAGGACACCGCACCGCAACTCACCGGCGAAATTCTTTGACTGTAGCGTGCGCGCTTCGCAGTTCGCACGTGCCTGTAGAACAGCTGTATTTTGTAATGGGCCCTATTGAAAATCAATTTGTCAAAATTGAAGTAGGCCACCCAGGTGTCTGAAGTCTGAAATAAATAAAGTAATTTGTTGGAGTGATATAAAGGTTTATGCTTGCGACTTTCTGCAGATCCTTGGGTGCCGTATCGGACCCTCTATGGTTAATGAATACTGTCTGGCCAGTTTGATACGGTCTTTTGCCACCCTGGGATTTGCTTGGAGATTACCAGACATCCGGATCCGTATCGGCCGTACACGTGTTGCCACGATTCTGTTGCCACCGCACTGACGTTACTACATGAGTGATTGGAAGTTTTGTATTCGGTGTGTTTGTCTGTCTGTTTGCTTGTGTATCCGTAGTAATTTAAATACAGTTACTGTAATGCCACAGGAGGATCCTGAAATTAAGTTGACAGAGTGACAACCAAGCAAGACTAAAACTGTCAGAGAACAAATTAGCACATTTGTCTCACACGCGAAAACTTTGGCTTTTAGCAGAAACTCAATTTCCGAAAACTTTTGTCTTTTAGAAATTCAATTAGTTAGTAAGCATGGCTGTCTTTCCGAAATGGTCAAAGAGAGGCCACGGTGTGTGGATGAAGACGAATTGTTGGGTTTAATAGTTGGGTTTGTAAATTATTGATATTACAGAAGAGGTTAATGTTCACAAGGACAAGTTACGTCTATCCGTCACCTACTGGTGATAATGAAGATTTGCACCACAGAATTCTTTAAGGAGAGGTTCTAAATTCGCTTTTCTGGTAAAATAGAAAAAAATCTAGTATTATTGGAACTTGATGAAGATTTGAGTGACGCCTGTATAAGTTTGGAATATAAGGTTGAAGTATACGTTTGCCAAATCGTTACTACAGAGAGTTGGCTACACGATATACAACGTGAGGCATTCTAAAAAAATGCAGCATCTCCCACCGATGCTTATGTAGCTGTTTAATCAACATGTCAACTGAACATCTCAATAAGCAGATGACGTTCGCTTCAGGAAGATGATTTTTGAGTAGGGTTGAGTTTCAGGTAAATCTTCACACTCATTACCTTTCGTGGCGCTAGGAAATACGTGTGAACCAAAGATTAATGTGAACTAATAAAGACATTACTTCTGGTTGTCTGCATTTTCTACCCTTGATGGAGCTTTCTCGTTTTTCGGTCTGTTATTCCATGATAACAGATATATGGCTTTAATACAGTTACTGTAGCTCATGTACACTTCTCCAAGTATTGATATGTAATGAAAATGGTTTTACTACTTTTACAAATCGGCTACATGTCGTCATTACTCAGCAAGATGGCAGTGGCCTATATGTGGTGACGGCTGAGACCAAGAGCGGCGTTACAAATTACAATAATGTACCACATTTAACGCGTTATTAATACAGATAGCTCTACTGGCACCAGAAACTGCGTTAGCATTGATGCAGCTTTTAATCGTTTTCCTGACCCAGAATCTTTTTTTTTCGGAGAACTACACTCCGATTGGTTAACCGACGGCTATAGATAGATATCTACCATAGCGACTGCATAAATTATGATAATTAAGGGCATCCCCCGGTTAAAGTCATGCCATGCACGATGTGTGAAGAAATGCAAACTGCGTCTTATAGAGTTTAATGGCCCACTTATAGTGATCTACCGGCCCCGTGGTGTACTTTCCTAATGGCGCTTCGTTATTAGAGGGGAGAATTTAAGTGGATGATTCTGGGTTAGAAGGAGACCAGATGAAACCGGTTGAGCTGATGCTCTCTGCGATTCTGTCGGCTGCAAACCTCAGGCCAGTTAGACCGTGCTAACACTTATCCTATAAAGGAAGAGGAGGACTTCTAGGGTTCATCGGTGAGTCATTGCCATGATTTAAATAGCCTGGATGGGTACCATCCGTTTTGTATCGGAGCTCTTTGCATTCGCTAACCGAAAGAAAATTCTCCAATACGTATCCTCTTTAGAAAGGGGAGGGCATCTTGTGTTGTCTGGGAAGCCATTGCCATCGTTCAAAGTCATCGCCTTATAGAAATCGTTATAAGACATATTCCATTCACGTACGCGCAATGTATGTAAGGCTTCTTGGGGAAGAATTAACATCTTATTCTGTAATGCTGACTTCTACATGCCTTTTTGATGTAATTAGATGCACGTGTGGGCAGGCAAAACCGTCCGTGATATATGAGTGATATACAGAATTTAAACCTCTCGGATGAAACATCGGGCGTGTTCTGTACTGTTCTGTTCTGTTCTAACTCAGGTTGCCTTGGTGATGGTTTCCAGGGACGACGGGCGGGGTGAAAAGGTGAGCCTGGCACGTGCGCGGAACCGGGTACCGGCAAATGGCGGAGACTGCCTGGCCATGGAGGGATAGGCACGAGATTCAGCATCAAACGTAATCTTGGAGTTTAGTAAGAAGGGGAGGAGTGTTCTAAGACTGCTGCAGCCATGACCATATCCTACAGCCTGAAGGTGTCGGAGGCTAGGTTAGGGGGTTTCCCGAAGCTCTTGCTGCGGTGGAAGGCCAGCATCTACAAGCTCCTGTACAAGGAGATGGCGATCTTCGTGTCCCTCTACAGCGCGCTGAGCGGCGTGTACCGTTTCGCGCTGACGGAGGAACAGAAGAGAACGTTTGAGAAGATCACGCTGTACTGCCACCAGTACTCGGACCTGATTCCCGTGTCGTTTGTTCTCGGGTTTTACGTGTCTATCATCTACACGCGGTGGTGGAACCAGTACATGAACCTGCCGTGGCCGGACCGGGTGTCAGCGCTGATCGGGTGCGCGGTACACGGCAGGGACGAGCGCGGCAGGCTCATCAGAAGGACCATGGTCCGATACCTCAACCTCTCCTCGGTCCTGATCCTCCGCAGCGTCAGCACAGTGGTCTACAAGAGGTTTCCCACCATGAACCACGTCGTAGACGCAGGTCGGTGCCTTTTTCTAAAATCTGTTTTGTGCCACTTATATATGAATTCGTGTGTGTGTGTGTGTGTATGTGTGTGTGTGTGTGTGTGTGTGTGTGTGTGTGTGTGTGTGTGTGTATGTGTGTGTGTGTGTGTGTGTGTGTGTGTGTGTGTGTGTGTTCTTTAGCGTTACAGTTTTTTTAAACCTGTTCAGTTTTATTGAAGATAATTGACTAGCATGTCACATACACAATGCCACATGAAGTATCCCTAGATGTTTAACAGAATAGCAGTCAATTCCTGTTCAGCATATATTGACATGATGTTTCAACCATGTCATCTTTTTAACGAGTTCGCTGAATGCAAGGCTAAGAGACCATCCTTTGGCAATAAACTACCACGACTTCCCTAATCATTTCCGCAATAGCTTGCATATTGGCATAAATCGTTAGAAATCCCCCAAACAGTCGATTGTTATCTATTATGTATGATATGTTCCCTGTGATTCATCTGCGATGCGACATAATTACATTATCTTTGACCGAAACGCAATTTATCGCGCCTCATTCCGTGGATTTTCCACTATTACATGCCAATTAAACTGACTTGCCGTATCATTACCTCTACACATTTGTATCTAATATGGCCTATGTCTGTATATAGACAATGTACTCTTAACTATATCTGGCTGGACAGTGGGTTTAGTTTGTTTTCCTGTGCATAGACAGGAATATCAAAAGGCGCCAGAATGCCCGCAGTGCCTCGCTGCAGAGTGACAATGCGCTATGCGCTGTTCATAAAAGTACAGCAAAATGAAATGGCCAAATTAATACGAAACTGTCGGAAAGTAGCACGTGTGTCGTAAAACTTTCTGTCGTAAATAGAGCACGTATTTAGGCCACAGCATCAGCAGAGGATGTTGCTGCTTGCCTAATATTGGATGCTTTTGATTTACCGTGTACAATTTGAGGGCATTCGTACCATAGATTTTACATGGTATGGACTGATCATCTTGTGTAGGTTGAAGTGATCAAGACCAATTTAGCTCAAATAAAAATAATCAAAATTTTCTCTCAATACTGTTGAGCTATTGTAAACTGGTTATCACATATAAGACAGACTCTATGTACTGGTTCATTGTACAGGGAAATTTTATTAACTTTTCTCGACACGTACAAATGAACAGTGGACCACAGCTTAAAGTCCTGTCCTAAGGAATGCAACCATTTCCATTAGTGTGCATGTCGGGTGAGCGACAACAGCCGGGATTCGAACTCACGACATTTTGGTCTGTCTCACTAACCACTACACCATAACACTTGTATCCCGCAGGTTTCATGTCCGTAGCTGAACTTAAGGAGTATGAGAATGTGGACTCGCACCACAGCAAGTTCTGGGTCCCGCTCAACTGGTTCTGTAACCTAGCAACCGTGGCGCGGCAGGAGGGCCGTATCAGGGACGACTTCACCTTCCAGGCCTTGATAGAGGTGCGTGTGACGTCATCATGACGTAATATCACGGCCGCCATGTTGTTGGGTTAAAGAGATATGTCATGTGTAACTAAAAACTCTTACTCGACATGAGAGCCGTATATGGGACGGCTCCACATTCCAGGCCTTGATTGAGGTACGTACGTGTGACGTCATCATGACGTAATATCACAGCCGCCATGTTGTTGGGTTAAAGATATATGTCATGTGTAACCTACCAACTGTTACACGACATGAGAGCCGTATATGGGACGATTATACCTTCACGTGTTTGTGACTTAATCTCACGGCCGCCATGTTGTTGGATTAAAGAGATATGTTGACCCTAGCAAACGTGGCACGACAGAGGAAAAACAGTTACAGCAGTAATAATAAATATTAACTAACTGCTATTGGGCACATTACGTGAACAAGGTTGAAGCAGTCAGCCGAAAATTTGGGGCAAGTCCCAATTTATTCCGGAAGGAAAGTTCAGTCTATATTTCATAATGACTTGTATCAACACAGATCAAGTTTCATGATATGATATTGGACGCGTTTGTGTTAATGTTTCAGGAGGAAAACAAGATGCGGCATTGCCTGGGCATGCTGTACAGCTATGACTGGATCAGCGTGCCACTAGTCTACACACAGGTACGTGCTACAACAGACACACACACGCACACATACACATACACATGCACACACACACACACACAAACACACGCACGCACACACGCGCACACACACACACACACTCACACGCACACGCACACGCACACGCATAGAAGGAAGCATGGCCAAGTACTTGTGTCTTAGCTATAGTATTGTGCATCTTATACCAATTTCAATTCATCGACATGACTTAACGTAACTCCAACAACATCATGGATTTAAAATGTACACTCCCTGCAGTATGCTTCAAGCACCTCTCAGATGAATTGGATGCATTATCCCGTACCTCTCTTGAGAGGTGTCTGGATAGTTTACATGAAAGTCCCTCATGTGATACTGCCAAACAGACATTCAAGGTACATCAATGGTATACTCCTCCAGGGCGTGTAGCAGGTTGCGGTTTCCATTTCTAATCCCTATTTATACCCATATGTGATGACAGTTGCGGTGTAATAGTAAACCCCTCCCACACCCCCAGGTAGTAACAGTAGCCGTCTACACGTTTTTCCTGTCCTGCCTGATGGGGCGGCAGTACCTGGACCCGTCGCAAGGGTACGAGTCGCACGAGGTGGACCTGTACATCCCGGCATTCACCATACTGCAGATGTTCTTCTATATGGGATGGCTCAAGGTGGGTTTCATACCGTCATGTTTTTATAGACCAAGAGGTTGGGAGTTCGAATCCCGGCCGCTACTGGAGAGGGTCGCTAGTCCTTAAGACAGGGCGTTGAGCTGTGATCCACTGTTCACTGTGTTTGCCGAAAAGAGCTAGGGGAATTTTACCTGGTACAATGAACCTGTAAATACTGTACATAGCGCCTGTCTTCTCTGTCACGACCAGTGGTGGAAGACCAGCTCTTCAGTGAGCTAAACTGGATCGAGATAATTTTTTTAGAACATCAATACCCAATTAGCTATACAATACAAATATGGATATATGTGGTTCGGGGTAGTAAACATGAACCTTTCAGACAAGTGATGTTGTTCATAGGGTTGAGTTTCAAGTAAGAGACAGTCCTCACACTCACAACCACTGCCTTTTGTATTGGGGGAGGAACCAAAGATAAGCACACACTAGAGAACGTTAGCTTTGTTATGTGTTTATGTTTGGTCTGTATCCAGGTGGCAGAACAGCTGATCAACCCATTTGGTCAGGACGATGATGACTTTGAGGGGAACTGGTGCATCGACAGGAACTTACAGGTAATAGTCATCCCTTCGTACTGTCTTAGTAATCCGGCCACAAGTTCTGTCCTTCTCGCTCTCCCCCCCCCCTCTCTTCCCCTTCTATTTATTTCTCTCTCTAACTCTAACTAAAACTCTGGTCCTCCCAAACTTAAACTTTCTCCAGTTTATTGTTCTTGTTTACCCCAGTCTCGTACCTAACTGTATATGACATTTACCTTTTTGTTTATTGGTGTTGTTTATTGTTGTTTATTGTTTATTGCAGATATCGTACCTGGCGGTAGATGACATGTTTATTGTTGTTATTTACTGTTGTTTACTGTTTACCTCAGATCTCTTACCTGGCGGTAGATGACATGTACCTGTTTGTTTACTTTTGTTTATTGTTATTTATTGTTGTTTATTGTTTACCCCAGATCTCGTACCTGGCAGTAGACGACATGTACCTGTGTCACCCGCCCCTGGAGAAGGATATTTACTGGAACCAGCCTGACCCGGACCTGCCCTACACACAGGCGGCTCTCAGCAGCAGGACAACCTCATTCCTGGGGTCCACGTTTGAACTAAGGTGAGAATCTTAAGTGTGGTTGTATTATTAGGAATATGCCTCATGTCCAAGGTTGGGTTAACCCGTTGAATTTGAATATCCAAAATGTATCCTTTTCTGCAAACCGAACGTTGACTGTATGCGAGTTGGATGAATGTTGTCCACAAATATTACATCTATCTTTCTATCACGGAAGTGATCTTTTATAGAACGGAGTTTCAAGTACGTGGTCGACCACACACTCATTGCCTATCGTGGTGGTGGGGGTGCGAGCCAAAGATCAAATTGTAAACTAGAAAATATTAGCTCTTGTTACTTGGATTTCTAGCCTATTGTGTAACAATAACCTGTACATTTACTTAGTACCTATTCGTCAATTACTTACCATAATCTAGAGGTGCTATAATGATAATAATTATTAACATGTTTTGTCTTCCGTCTCAGGCTGAACAAAGGCGACATGGAGTTTAAGCGCATGCCTCCCCTGGAGGAGTGTCCCCGCTCAGGTATATTATTCTGAGAAGCACATTTTAACATTGTATTGTAACGATCATAACGGTAAATGTATCATCATTTAGTCTGACACTTTAAACTGCATTTCTAGGTACTTAGTGTTTAATGGGACCGGTGAGGTGAGGAGAGTGTTTAATGATATGGGTTTTATCGAATAACTTAGTAATTTTAATTTGTTCTGCCATAAATGTTGATAAAGTAATTATAAATTGTACAAAATGACATAATTCAGCCAATGGCTACAACTTCTTGTTTGTTTTTATAAATAAATCATTTGATTGATTGATCTATTGATTGATCTATTGATTGATACTAATAATACTCAGGTAACTCCATCAAGCGTCGCTCCGCCAACTTCACCCGGGCCTTCATCGACTCCATCCTGTCTCGCAGCGGGTCCACCGTCTCGCTGAAGAGCTCCGCGCCGGGCACCCCGACCTCCCACTCCGCAAGCAACACGCTCAGGAAGCCGTTCTCACCCCGCAAGCTGCACGCACACACAGGTGGAGTATTTGATGTTTGGTCGTGGTTTGGTATCTTAAAGTCACTCTATGTAGTTTTTTGACAATACAAAAAGTATATTTTTTATTCTTTTCTTTACATAGTACATTGGCTTAACCCATTAGTATTCCAAAATTATACTCCCCAGCAAAAAATACAACATCCTTGCTCCTTAGAAGCTTAGAAAACTGTGAATGATCTTCTATTCAACCTCTGGCCAAACCACACATATGGTATTGTCCACTCCCAGTGGTTTGACCTACATCCCAGTGGGGTGTCAGTTGATAGCTTACCAGTTTCTGAAATACCTAATCGTTTACCAGATTTTTTATCTCTTTTGAAGGGATAATGGCCACAGTTTATTCATGCCCAACAAAATACTCTAAGTTGATAATTATATTCCACCTCATGTGAAAGATATGAGTTTTTTCTAAGGAGGGTATACATGTATCTTGTGACATCTGCCCCTGTCTATCGAGCCTGGCATGCCCGGGCCAATTAGCCACCCCAGGGGGCAACCCCTGTATGTTGTTGTTGTTGTCCTGCCTGAGCAAACCGGTGGCACCGGGAACTGAAGAAGGACTGTTTGAACAGACAAAATATACGAAAAAAATGTGAAATAATAACACAAATGTGTTGAAAAGTGATAGTAACTGCTAATAACATCAAAATTTAGTATAATTAGAATATTTCAATTTTTTGCGCAAAAAACTACATAGAGTGCCTTTAAGCCTCGGTCACAACCCGCCGTACGTACTTTTTGTCCGTACGTTTTTTGGGAGGCTATGTCTGCTACGTTTTTCTGAAAACGTGGGGAAGGAGTGGCATCGACGCACGTCACTCGCACGGTTTCGTAGGGTGTAAAAGTGTGGTCTGCACGCCACGTCTGGCCGTTTTACATGCACTTAAAGTTCTACGGCGTGTCTGCGTGCTCCCAAATCCGCTCTCCATAACAAGTCTCTCCAAATGGTCACTTACAGATTACCATAATTACACAAACCATACCGTTACACAGGGGACAGCTACACGGAGCTGAGAGCGCTCGGCATCATGCACAAGACGGACTCACAGGAGTCACTGGTGTCGCCGGACTGTGGCGGGAGTGGGGAGGGGGGCGACGGTGTGAACAGGTGTGTACCCTAAAAAAAGTATGTTTAACGAAGGAAAACATATTGTTTTTGCTCTGTTTCCTCTTCTTCTGTTCCAAACACAAAAGATTAAAAGCCAGAACCAGACGTCTGTCGCCATGGCAACTGGTGTAACTGGCAATTCAGCAAAATGGCTGCGAGTGATTTTAACCTGAATAAATCATTCATTCATTCATTCATTCATTCATTCATCCATTCATTCATGTCTCAACAGGTCTCCTACCGGAAGGGACGGCCAGTTTTCCATCCCCATCAGCCCCAGACCCGCCCATGACCACACTGACGACACCAACGTGACGATACCGGAGGGGACACCAACAGTCTCCGCCAGGGAGCACCTCGCCGTCCCGCAGCCGATTCGGCATCTCAGGAAGATGTCAAAGTCGGTCTCGCATCTTGTCGACCCTCCTCGGTACCCGACCGACGCCAAACACGGCTACAGACGCTCCAGCGACAACATCGCGTCCATGGCGAACTCGGGACAGTTCAGGGGCGCCACGACATCTTCCGACTACTTCTCTAACGACAAGATTTCAGCGACGGCGACGAAAGATGCAGTCTTCTATCCAGCAGTGGTTTCTCAGGAGCAAGCTGCAGGCAGGTTAGTCGGTAGTCTGACAGGACGTAAGACATTAGACACTTTATTAGCTTTGGCTGACTACAAAAACTGAATTGATGCTAATTTACAATGGTAACTTCTTTCCTGTCAAATTTCTCGGAGGATTAAAAACTTAAGAGAAACATTCAGTTACATATGACATAATTTTATTAGCATTGGCAGACTAAAAAACTGAATTGTTGCTAATTTACAATTATGCAATATCAAATTTCTTGGAGGATCCAAAACTTTAAGGGAAACATTCAGTTACATGTGACTTCAAGTACAATATACAATTTCAAAATTACAGAAACAAAATTACAGAGGTACATACGTTAAAAAGGTATAAGTTGAATCATTACAGAGTTTGTTATAGAGTAGTGTTGCTTGGTAGAAGAAAGACGTTTCAGTCTCTCCGTTCGACACTTTGGTAGTGTGAGTAAGATGGTTATGGTTTCTAAGTGCCCTGTCACTTCCTGACATGTTCTGTCCTCCTACCAGTAGGCTAGCGGCCGTGAGCAGTCTTCCCGCGGAGGGTAAACCCGAGACAGGCCGAGTGACGCCGTACCGGGCCCGCAAGCCGTCCGGACCGACGCCCGCCAGGCCTAAAGGCGTGAAGTGGGTGGTGTACGACGAGGAGTGTGAGGTAACAAGAACCAGAACAGTCCAATACCATTCATGACCAGCCTCCTGAACGAACAGACTCAGTAATAGATCTCTGATACAACTTATTTGTTCCTAACTCGACGTAAACGACATTTACCTTAACTGTAAAATGTGTATATTTAGCTTGTGACTTATATACTTATATGTGTGTGTTAAGTACCCTGACGTATCCTTCTTACAACTTACCTAGGCCTGTTCTAAGGTAGTGTTTATTGCGTTTCAAAATTGTTAAATAGGAAAGATGATTTTTTTATTACCGAGCCTTAAAGAGCCTAATGTCAACTGTTTTTAAATGTAAAAAGTACGAAATTAAGCCCATGGCTGCGATGTACTTTACCTGATCAAAATGATCGAATAAACCATTCATTCATTCATTCATTCAGGTGGGGCAGCTGAGTAGCGACAGCGGGCGCGGGTCGGTGAAGAGTCTGCGGGACTTGTGTCTCCAGATCGAGCCGCCAACAGGAACGGGGAACGCCACGGGGTCTGCAAACTCTTACGCTTTTGGTAAAGACTCGAAAAATGCGGAAGCCCCCAAGGTAGAAATCCAGCTACCTAGACTGACGTCTGTATAATAGGGAAGAACAAAATCAATTTGGACTGCAGATTGAACCGCCAACAGGACGGGGAACGCCACGGGGTCTGCGAAGACTAACGCTTTTGGTAAAGACTCGAAAAGTGCGGAAACCACCAAGGTAGAGATCTAGCTCCCGAGACTGACGTCTGTATAATAATAGAGAACAGAATCAATTTGGACTGCAGATAGAACTGCCACAAGGCAGGGGGAAGCTCTGGGCCCTTCTATGAAGACTGGCGTTTTAGTAAAGACTCAGCTGCGGACAATCCTAAGGTGGAGATCCAACTTCCGAGACTAACGTCCGTGTGAGGGGAAAGGACAATTGAAATTAATTTGGACTTCAGAAGGAACCGCCACCAGACAGGGGAAACACTGAGGACGCGCGGACGTTTCTATGAAGACTCGAAAAGTGCGGACAACCTTAAGGTGGAGATCCAGCTTCCGGGACTAGGGTCTGTGTAAATTGGAAAGGACAAGACGTCAAATTTGGACTCAGGGAAACGGACAAACTATGATGATTATACACTTCCCGCAAATGATAGTAGTGAACTAGAGTGAAATAGTGCAGCACTGAAATAAGAGTCAATCTATATGTAGTAAAGGAAAATGCCTTTATATGTGATGCTGCATGGCTACTTCTGAATGCTTTGTACCTTTCCTAATTATAAGCTGTGTATAATGTATGTGGTAATGTGCTCTATGTATTCTCTTGTAGAATAATAGACATGTTTGCGCAGGAATTTACATAAAAGAGAAGGTAGTAACATGTATATCCCAGCAAGCTCAATGCCAGGTACGTAGATTGTGAACTCGCTAATTATATGTATCTGGTAACAGTAACGTTGGTATAAAATGTTGTAAATAGCTTTTCAGACAAAGAGAAAGACGGAGAACTACAAACACTCAATTTTTAAATGTACAAACTGCGTTTTTCATTTGAAGTTAGCATCTTGTAAAAACAGTGTGTACGTATCAACAGAAAAAAAAACATTAAAACGCACAAATAACATACATAACTTAAGACTCGTCACTGGGGCATTATACTATCATAATGAGAGGTACGTTGAAACAAATCCTCCAAAAGTGTAATAACAGACACACTGAAGCTATCCGGACTACATGATAGGAGTCGTTTAGGCTGGATTCCGGATACCGGAATTAGGGATGACGCAGGATGCAAGCGACGTGTTGCTTTCACAACGTGTATGTGGTTTGGGCGGCATGACCGTTGCCATGACCGGCATTCTGTTCTCTATTTTCCCGGCATGCGAAGTGATCCGGAATATGAAATCCGGAATATGGGGTCCGGAATACGAATCCGGAATATGGTGTCCGGAATAGTGAATCCGGAATAAGAAATCCAGAATATGGGTTCGGAATATTGGATCCGGATATCGGTTCAACTCCATTTGTTGCTGATCTGCTTAAGTAACTCCAATGTAAACATCAGGGACGAGGTTCTGACTTCAAAGTGTTTGATCATGTGTTGATTGATGGTCTTCTGATTTCAAAGTTGACCTGTAGTGACAGTTAGTAACGTAAATATTGGCCCACAAACACCACAGGCATCAGACAGGATTCAGTATTGTGTGAATTTAATGGTCTAGTGGTAGTTCGTGCGTTTCCTTAACCATCAGTTACATTTGATTCTGTGGAATCGGTACGTTTTACTAAAGACGTCAGTATTATAAACAATTTTGTGTGTCGTGTTAGCCCGGGGGAATGCCTGCCCTGTAACTGTGCCAAGGGTCATGGCAGTTGTTACTTGGCTGGCGATGGTACACTAAAGGGGCGGTTATGGATGTGACATGGACTCCTGTTTGTTTTGTTTTTTTTTCTTAATACCAAAGTGGTGTACATTGTTCCTTTTTCTGTTACCCATAGAAAAAAAAAAGTCTCAGACATAACCTGGCGTTTTTTTTACCGTCGACACATATTGGGCTTGATGCAAGTCTATCACAAAATCACATTATATCAAAGTCTTGGCTGTTACAAGAACTCCAAGATGACTAGTTGACACATCACGTGTTTTATCAATCTGGATCCAGAGTAAACAATCAAACAAGCATTTTATGTTAAGGTCACTTGGACTGTGGGCAACAAAGTTCGCATACAAATGATTTTATACCTGATCAATCTGAAATATCCTTATAATTTTAGAAGACGTTTTAAGCCGATATCAAAGGGAGGCAGAGAATGTTCTACAGATTTAGCTTGTTTGTGGATCTGTTGATGACCACAGAGGACGATGAAGTTTACTTTGCAGAGATGTAAGAATGGGAGGGGGGTGTTCTTCTGACACCATATAGAAACAGATCTGACCTTTAAAGACAATTTTGTCTGTAATTATCGGTGGACAATAGGCGGTACACGTCATAAGGTAGGGCAACTAACAACACCACTATTGTTTCTGGTCTGACTTTGGATTCAACTAAGAAAAACTAGCCAAGCAGTAATACAGTCAGTTTTCTAAATCCAACATTTACTCTAATTCATAGTCAAAAACGCTCACTTTGGTTCAATATGCTTCAAGTTAAGGTAGTACAGTGTTAAATTTAGATAAATTGTGTAATTGACTATACCGCGCGTCGTGTTAGCCTACGGGTGGGCACCTGGCTAACTGATCATACGATACGACAATTATTAATAATTATGCGCATAGCAATGTAAACATGGCGGGTTGTTGTTTTTGTTGCCCTATGTTTCTATTTGGCAGAGTATGACTTTTGATTCTTTACCTGATGAATTTAACGGCAATTGATACAACTGATCCTGAGGTAGTACGGATTTGTCGCCAACAAGACCGTCTAGTGTTTGACAAATACACAATTTTTCCTCTCAGTTCCCACCAGGACAACCCCCCATCGATGACACTGATACGTTAACAGACAAACTACCCAAATATTTGCTTTAATGTGAAAAGTTAGATCAAGAAGTAACATTCAACTTTCGAAACTGTCAGGGAACATACAACACAGCCACTCATTGTACTTCCTTCTATCGATGATGCTAGCTACGTCAGACAGAATGAACTGTTTGTAGAAGATTTGTACAATGCTTGGCGTTGGTTTTAAATTGACCAGTGCAGCGCGCCTTTTCAAGTGTAAAGATTATCAAAGTTGTTTTTCGTCTCCCTACCATTCGCTGTTGGTGACGACAGTTCTATATTTGTCTCAGAATCTACCTGTAAGTCCAAAGAGGGGTTATAACTTTTATTGAGGAATATTTTCTCATAAGGAATCCATTACGAAACTTTTACCTGAAGCAAATAATGACGACAACCACAAGTTAAGGTCGTACGTCTAGTATGGGCGATTATGCCAGACGTTGTTACTGAACGATCGCAAGCAATGATAGTTATTCACCCCTAATTTTTGTGAGTAGTTGATCAGCCATGGACAGCTCTTTGCTATTGGTCGACGGTGACGCTAGTTCTATTTTCGACTCAGACTCTTAAATACTAGTTTAAGTGAGGGGTTTTGGACTTAATCAAGAATATTCCTTTCGAAAAAGTTTACATAGAAAACACTGGAAGTAAAGTTGACTAGAAAGATACACGTCGTAAGAAAACGTCATGTGTTTTGGGCAACAGAATTAGACTTTGCAGTAGAACAATTGAGACAATTAATTTTCTGTCACCCTCATTATGATAATGAGATGATCCACCTCGCAAAATTGATTGACACTTTTTGAGGAAACGAAGTCTTCAGAACGAAGCCAGAGCGCGGCAGAAAGAGCGCGGCAGAATGGCGGGCGGACTGCTGCGTGTTCTCGTGCTTCTGTGTGCGGCGGCGGCGGTCGCCCGGGCACAGGTGTGGTACAGCCACGGGAAACCGTCAGGGACGTGGATCAGGTAAGCTAGTCTTGTTATGAAAATCTTCATACCTGTTGAAACTTTATTGAAACTTTGTGGGGTCGTGTGGCGACTTGGAATCAAGAGGTCCCGGGTTCGAGTCCTGACATGCCACCGATCTTGTGCCCTTGGGAAAGGCACTTTACACGACTTTCCCTGCTAGACTCAGGTGAAAATAAGTATTGTATTGTCCCCTGTGTTGGTGGCGGCATTAATATGAAGTTGTGGGGTCGTGTGGCGTAGCGGCAGAGTGCGCGACTCGGAACTAAGAGTCCCGGGTTCGAGTCCTGACATGCCACCGATCTTGTGCCCTTGGGAAAGGCACTTTACACGGCTTTCCTCACTTAGCTCAGGTGTAAATGAGTATTGTCCTGTCATGTATTTGTCCCCTGTGTTGGTGGCGGCATTAATATAAGTTGAAGAAACTTGAGTGTGTCGTCACCACGTCTGGTGATTACATGTTGGAGTAAAAAAAAAATTAAGTTGAAAAAAACTTGAGTGTGCCGTCACCACGCGTTGTGATTAGATGTTGGAATAAAAGAAAATTTATTACTTTACATTTTACAGTTACTGAGTTACAGGGGTGGGTTAAAAAGTATTCACAGTACGCAGTTAGCATGGAAGTTCATCTGAGTTTGTAGGCAGTTGTTAAGCTCTAATCTCCAAGGACATCTTCCCGGTGGCAAAATCGTAATTATACATGTAACTGCCTGCCAAGTCATGCCTGCACGGTGTAGATCTGCTAGGAGATTATTTGAGCCTACAGAAATTTCCTAACCAACACTAGAGATAATAACCTTAATCTTAGAGGACATTCCGGCCTGAATATGTCAGGGTTATTTTTTAATGACAGTCCTCCTCCTTCCTCGCAGTACAGCGATGGCCCCATTGACACACTTTGAAGGGAAGAAGTGGTTCGGCGTGGGGGCAAATGGATATCTGTATGAGAGGTAAGCTAATTTTTTCATTATTACAAAGCAATGTCAGAGCATGTAAATTACAAATAACCATCACACACACGTATGTGTATATGTGTATGTGTGTGTGTGTGTGTGTGTGTGTGTGTGTGTGCGTGTGTGTGTGCGCGCGCGTGTGGTGTGCCTATGTGTGTTATTGTGATGTTTCAGATCCACAAAAACAGGTAGCTAACAGTTTATTATCGTGGTCACCAGGTATGAAAACCCCTCCGGTACCTGGCTGTGGGTGAACCACGGACGCCCTTCGTCTGGTCGGTATAACTCCGGTAAGGAACGGATTGTCTTACTCCTCTCGGATATTATTTATAGAACATTTTATCACATAAACCCCAGAACAGTTTACTAAAGGTCAATCCTAGTCGCAACGCATGGGTAAAAACTATTGTTTATAATCAGGCAGTTTCACCAGGAACGTCGGTGACAAGCATTGCTTTCAACTTTCAACTTTCAACTTTTAGTTTATCTATCAGTGTTTAGGTTTAACTTTATTATTCATCATTATATTTCAGAGCCGTGTGTATTAGAGGACTTTGATAAAGTCCACCTGACGACAAGCCTTGGCTATCTGTATGGGCGTAGCTATGCATCTTGGGGAGCTTGGACCAGCGTAAATCTCGGAAGAATTTTCTCTAGTAAGTATACCTTTTATTCAATACATTTGTAACATGTTTACATGAGGTAGTTTACCCCACGGATTTTCTGTGCTGTTTCTATTCTAAGTTATTATAGATATTTTGAATTCTACATTATGATATTCAGGGTAGAGCTGTGTACCGATACTCAGTACCGATACTGTACCGGAAAAATTGGTTAGGTACAGGTCCAAAATACCTAATCCCTCCGTACCGGTACTGTACCTAAACAATTTCACACCAATTTTATGCCTATTTGTGACCTTAAATGTGGAAATAGCTGGTCGCCAATGGGTTCCAATGTAAGGACAGTGTGTTCATGAAAACAATAATGCCTTACTTTTGCCTATATTTTATCTGAGCATTCTCCATAAACCAAAATTAAACCTTAACTATCAAGTGTATACATGTTTTTGTTGCTATTGAAAGAGTTCAGAAGAGCATGTAAATTGGTCGAATTTTTTAGGTACAGGTTCAGGTCCGGACCTGTACCTAAACCTGTGTACCTGTACCTGTACCTGTACCTAAAATTTGTTTAGGTACACAGCTCTAATTCAGGGTATACAAAAAATCATCGGGGGCATTAGAAATACAAAAATCAATGAATACAAATATAAACATGATACAACAAATAATGAACAATCTATCATGGCCATCGCCAAAATGAGACCATCTTGGTATCTTCAGGTGTCCGTGCATCAGCCTGTTCTAATGTGCACAAGCTTACGCCGGCACTAAAGGCGAGGACCTTCGTGGTGGGATCGAACAGACATCTGTATGAGCGGTTCTGGGAATGGGGTACACCGGGTTCGTGGACCTGGCGATGGCACGGGAGGCCTCCTTCAACTCATGTAAGTCATTGTAGGTCCACACGCTTACAGCAGCTTGCCGCCTGTACTTTGTTGTTTTACAGCAGCGAACATTTTTTTCTTTGCAGCGTAGTGTGACATATCGTAAACAATCAATCCCAGCTTTACCCATCTTTACTTATTTTGACATTAGATTGGGATTGGGCCTTCCCCGGCCACATCCGCGAAACAGTATCAAAAGCTTCTTTTCGTGCCTTTATATAAGACCTATATTCGTGACTCTTTAACCAGCAGTCAAGCATAAGAACATGTCATATAATTTGGAATTTTGTAGATGTAGGTTATTCTATTGAAACTTAACTGATACAAATATCAAATTTAACTATCCACAATTGCTGTGGGAGGATATACAATAGGCATTTGCGTTTAACGTTTGCATTCACATTTCTTTTCAGCTACACCTTTCAATGTATGGAATAATTTCCTTTCCAGGTGGCCAGTATAAAAACCACAAGCTACATAATAACGCCATCTGGTTACAGCTTTGTGTTCGTGGTGGGCACGAATGGAAACGTTTACAGGCGGTTGACACATCAGAACGGAGGCGGCTCCTGGTACAACGTGGGCAGGCCTGCGGGAAAAATCGTTCGGAGAATTCACGCAACTCATAATGGATACCTGTGGGCCGTCACTACTGACGGGTCTGTTTGCAGGTGGATATTTAGCAGTTATGTGCTGTCACATTCAAACCTTCCAGTCAGGAAAGCTGTGTTTGGTCAATTCTCTAATCAGCGTCATAATAAGTTTATTGTTGGTCACGAAATGCCAATATGGCCGCATTACATGGAGCATCTTAGCCTGGGTGCCGTCCCCAGTAGTATTCGCCCACTCTATAATGTTGTAAGCTAGCGGGTGAATACTACTGGAGATGGCACCCAGGCTAGGAGTATCTGGCACTATAGCCTAGGTGCCATCCTCCGTAGTTACAGCCGCCTCCCTATTGTGGTTGCCGGCGTGAATAGGGTTAGGGTTAGTGTAAGTCCAGTCGTAGAGCCTAAAAAATGGCTATAAGGAGTATTGTCTTCTGTACTTGACAGGTGGCAGGGTGGGTGGCCATGTTTTTCCCTGACCAACAGAAAAATCCTGGACTGCTCGGACCCGTTTTTCGTCAGCAGCGGGAGATCCATGTTCTGCATCACCCAAACCGGCATCATCCAGGGATCGTCTGGATACGGGGTAAGAACGTTCTACTGGCTTTATAAACTTTCTGTCTAACGAACCTATTTAAGGTATGTCAGACGATCTAAGACCATCTGATATTGTTACTATTATATAACTGGCACAAATTGCAAAATAGCCGTAGGTAGCGGCAGGCTTGTTACTACCGATGATTCGATTTCAAAGCAACTTTCTGCCTTCTTCAATGGCAACGCATTTGATACCAATGTGGCTACTTAAAACAGGCTCCTGGGTCTGGCGTCCTAATCCTAATACTCTTGTGCCCTTGGAAAATGCACTTTAACACTTCTTTCCTCACCTGACTGGGAAAAATGAGTATCAAGCTTCCGTTGATTAGGGGCAGCCTTTCTGGCCGAAGGTCAAATGTTTGGGGACAGACACTCAGAGACTCACGTCACCAGATAGCCAGAGTGTATTTCATTGCTGTTTTTTTTTCCAGCTGTACCAGCTTACTGTGAGTGGTTCTCCCCCCACTGCGACTTGGGTCAACCACGGAGTCCCCACAATGCCGTTCTACTACTCGTTCGTGGACAGGCCGAATGTCGTCTTCACAGGTGGCAGCGGCTTTTATAACTTTGGTGAAACCCCAAAGAGAGTTTTCGTGTCTTCTACCATTGGCGTGTTCGAACTGCGCTTATAGAGGGTACCCTTTCTGATACCTACCCCTTGACACATAACTCTGACCTGGAACGACATACGATTTTAATTTTGGATAACGATTCTTTTTTCGACTGCAAGGATTTAGTATATTGTATTTTTACTGTTGCCCACTTAGTTTCGTGTATGGTTAGTGTTATTATTACCCCTTTCCCATGGAAACCACATTTCATAAGGCCCAAACGTCTTTGACACAAAAGGAATAAAGCATAGAGAAAAATTCGAATTGTGTCGCATTAGAAGGAGGGGATCCGTTTTTTCCTTAAAGTCAACAATGTTAAACTAATCATGGGGTCAATTATTTCACCCTGTGCTGAGACTTTTTCAATTCAAACATAACCAAAAACTTGGGATTACTAAAGGCTGGACCATTATGCAAACAGAAGCAAATTTGATCAGACATTTACAGTAAGAAGACGAGAAAAAATTCACAATTGAGAAATTGCAAAAGCGACCAAACCAGTTGTCAAATTGCATACACACCGCTGTATGTTATAGCTAAAGACGTTCTATAGAGCGTTATTTGTTTAAGTCGCGTGATTTTCACTATAACATATTATGTATGTACTGCATGCTGAGGTGGTGAGAGGTGACTAGTTAATGAGCTTTGCTGTGCATTCTACAGAGATGTAGAGATGTGACCTTCTGGGATGAAGAAACTTTACTATTACTCTTATATTTTATAAAGAAACTTTACCATTACTCTTAGTAAACAGTTTGTTAAATAAACTATAATTTATCGATGTTATACTGACAATGTAGTTAGCTTACTTCAGCTCAATTGTCTTAAAATAGCAAAGGTGTCACCTAGTTGAAAAAATCTGAATGTAGTTTTACCTGTTTTACGAGTGATATAATCAATGAACCGTTCCTGTACCTAGTTAAGTACTAAGTTAAGTTTTCTTTAGTCTGCTATGTTACTGTTTCATGCTCGCTAAAGATGGTATAGTTTGGAGTATTATCTAAAAAAATATGATTATCATTATATTACTGGTGTAGCAATGTAGAATCAATCATACTGACACCTAGTAGAACTTGCTATAGGTTGATCCATTAGATTGTAGATTGATACGTGAGTCAGTCTATAGTGTGATTTTTAAACGTAGCCCATGGTACGTAGTTTTTATCCCTGTAAACTTATGTTCCCACGTTTTTAAATTTCTGGCTTGGTTGTCAATGACTAATATGCTGCATCTTACTCGTATTTGCTGGGGCTTTTGTCCATGATTGCTTTTGAATAAAGGTATGTGGAAAAACACCCACTTTCTTCCCAATCTTTTTTTTTGTGTTGAGTTTACTACAAGGCGACACAAATCAATAAAGCATCAGAAGCGGACAAGCTTTTGACTGAGATGGATAAATGACTAATACGTGAATTTTAGTTGCAGCGATTTTTATTTTGCAAGATTCACTACTAGCACTAACATTATCAATGCCCCCCCCCCCTTACTCCCAGCTCCCAACTACTCTGGTGTAACGTCAGAGCTTTAAACACAATGTCAATAATTACAATGACCCCCCCCCCCACTAGTTAGCAATGACCCTCTTACCTTACTACCCAGGTGTAACGTAACGTAACCTTTTACCACAATGTCAACAACCACAAAGCTCAGAGTTACGCTCATAAGGACATTAGGGACAACATTGTACTAGCACTATTTGGCAATGCCCCCCCCTCCATATTACTACCCAAGTGTAACATTACCTTTTACCACAATGCCAACAATCATGACAAATGCTGACAGTTATGTACATTTAATTTAGAAAATTGGGCAATGTTGTGCTACCACTAGTTAGCAATGCTCCCAATCTCCACCTTAAGTTAGCGGTGCCGACCCCCCTCTTCTGAGGTGTAACATGCTCATTGTTCGAATGCCAACTAGAAAAAAGGGCTGTTTTTATGCAAGTATAGCGTTACACTCCAACAGCGCAGTTCAAATGTGTGTGGGTCACTGCACACTAGTCTAGGTGTTTCCATACACGAGGTTACTCCCGGTCACACGTACACAGGTAAAACCGCCTGGAACCGGAACAGACCTGTTTTGTGTTGGTACCGCTGGGGGCTGCACAGGTAAGGCTAGTGCGGTAACACACTATCTACCTTCGCTGGTTTTCATCCACTGTTAACATTACTGTTGTGCTATATCTGGGGGTGAGTTGGCCACTGCATTGGGAAACCTAAGTTTTACTATATGCACGCACAACGAGAACCCATACGTACATATAAATCTTCCTTATACTGGTTCCATTATACCCTATTTTGGGTAAAGCCAGACACTCAGACATAGATATTTAGTACGTAGAGTAATGGTGTGGTGTATGTACATGTCGTTGTCATATGTCACAAGAATTATGTTTGCTTTGATGCAATTAAGGGTTTACGTAAAAATTATAGCCTTGTCGCCTGGCTAGCTCCTCGGCCGATATGCCCTCAAAAAAATCTTACACCCCCCCCCTCCCTATGATCACGGTCCTACTCTGGGGGATGATTTAAAATTTCCTGGGGGGCATGTTGATCTTGGAGCCGGCCTGGCCTGTGTAGGCCCTGGAAACAGTCTGGCTTCCAGGCTAGCAAAATCAGTTCACCGACCTTCCATGTTTGGTTAATACAGTTCAACGTAACCGATTAGCCTAGTTAAATCCGTCTGTATACATAAACATGTGTGTATACTTATCATAGCGGCCCGACGACCTTCGGCCAGACGGCATTGTTTGTGTATCGATTAGGCTAGCTGTGTTTGAACAGCTGAATCTAATGGGTTTCTAATGGCACGTTCATTTTTGTCACGACCGGTGTAGAAGTTTGCTAATTTTTGCTTTTAAAAAGATATGTCAAAGTAAACCCTTCATTGTTTTTCATGCTGTGACGCAGGGAACTATTATTAATAGTGACTATAGTTTTACGATTATGTTAGGGGGAGGGGGGCAGACTAATATCATTCTTTTGTGCTTAATATCGACTCCAGAGCCCATTATCATCTGCGTTAGAAATTCAAATGTGCCCTTTACTCACATCCTTTTTATACGAATGCACAGATGAATTTGGAATTTTGTTGGAACAACTTTACACCCCTTCTCGGTCTGCTCGAATGGAATAACATTGGAAAAGTGCAAAGACCGCTAAAAAGGGCTGAAAAATGAAAAGATTTCTCACAAGTTTCCCATTTTTTGATTCACAGGGCTGGTGTGCTGGCAAGGGTCAAGGTCAACACGATCTAAAAACCACAGTCTGTATATAAACAAAAGTCTGTATATAAAACTGGCCAATTTTGGCGACGCCTTAGGGGCGGGGCGTCCATACAATTAACATATAACGTTACCACTAGTAGAAGAACACTGGAGACTGTTGCGCCGTTGCCATGACGACATCCTATAGCCTGAAAGTCGCCGACGCGCGGTTCGGCGGGTTCGTCCGTCTTCTCTTCCGGTGGCAGGCCAGCTTCTACAAGCTCCTCTACAAGGTAAACTCATCTCCCACTGCCTAAAAAAAAAAAACAAAAAAAAACAAAAAACAAAAAAAACAAATTGAACCCAACAAAATTATACCACGTATGTTGTAGAATGTGGTATAACTTTGCACATAGTAGTCTCTCATATCATTGTATCTTGTTTTTTGGACTTTTATCAAAGGTCCTGAACACTTAGCTGTACTATTAGCCCATCTTGTGTTTTGCAGCCTTTTCAATTCAGCCAATTGTATTAATAATAAATAACGTAATTTTGTATGTACTTGTATGGTACAAATAACCCATGTCTGCTATTTCCTGTTGTAGATTGAATGGTGTTTGTACATATTTGTATATATTGTGTTTCTGTGTACTTGTCCTGTTTTGTTCTTTTAACCAATTGTAAAAATCGAATACACAATTCAGGGGTGCATCAGCATTTCCTGCTTTTGTGCGAGTTTGTTTGATTGAATAAATTGAATTGAATTGAATTGAATTGGATTGAATTGAATAAACCAGTCTCTCTAAACCTCCACAAGGAGCTCCTGGTCTACCTGGCGCTGTACTTCGCCCTGAGCGCCACCTACCGGCTGGTGCTGAACGGCAGGCAGAGGGAGTATTTTGAGGACATCAGCCTGTTCTGTAACAAGCACACGGACCTGATCCCGGTGGCTTTCCTGCTGGGGTTTTACGTGTCGGTGGTGTTCACGCGCTGGTGGCAGCAGTACACCTGCATTCCCTGGCCCGACCGCATAGCGGCGCTCATAGGCTGCAGTGTGCACGGGGACGACCACAGGTAGGCTGAGGGTCCGCATGGGGGATTAGTGTATTACCGATTACGAAAAATTCTCTGCAGGCATCTCATTATGCAGCCTAGAATGGAGATGTTTAAGCACCGAAATATTTTGACGTTTTAGAAATAAAACCCTCCTGATTAATAAGGAAACCACTAGTCTTCATTAACTACTGACGCATCTATCATGAAAGTTCATCTGTGTTGGTAGTTACATGTTTAAACTTAAAACTTTTTGTCCAACACAAAAAATTCTCTCATCTAGAGCTTTCGACCAGTCACTCTGGTCTTCCTCAGTAGACTGACCCAGTGAGGCTTGTCACGTGACTTCTTTGAAGTGTATCAACACTGGGTCAAATGTACTCACGTATCTGTTTCTGCATTGTATCAGGATAGTCGATATAAACGCCCTTTAGTGCAACACACTATTTTGACCTTCACATGACCTTCACATGACCTTCCCCAGGGGCCGTTTGATCCGCCGCACGCTGGTCCGTTACGTCAACCTGGCCACGCTACTGATCATGCGCAGTATCAGCACAGCCGTCTACAAGCGCTTTCCCACCATGCACCACGTGGTGGAGGCAGGTGGGTCATTCATCCTAAATCAATCAATCAATCAAGCAATCAATCAATCAATCAATCAACCAATCGATCAATCAATCAATCAATCAATCAATCAATCAATCAATCAACCAATCGATCAATCAATCAATCAATCAATCAATCAATCAATCAATCAATCAATCAATCAATCAATCAATAAATCAAATCAAATCAAATCAAATCAAATCAAATCAGTCAAATCAATCAAATCAATCAAATCAATCAAATCAATCAAATCAATCAAATCAATCAAATAAATCAAATCAATCAAATAAATCAAATCAATCAATTGATTGATCGATTAATGAATCAGAAAGCTTCCACTTGACGGCACGGCCGCCATGCTGGTTGGGTTAAAAGTGTCGGATTTCTGCTTGTGCCGTAATTTTAGATTGAAAATCCATACTTTTAATGGTTTTACCATTCAACATGGCGGACAATGACTACGTCATAATCACGTGAGTGCTAAACACCCTGCCCTCTATCGTGACCTCTAGGGTTGATGAGGCCAGATGAGCTAAGTGTATTGATAAACATATAAGTATTCCCTTACATATACCATATACCGAATTCTCTATTGTGATCAGCTAGATTTAACCACCCAAAATGGCGGAACATAGTCACGTGAGTGCAAAACACACTGCTCTCTCCAGGTTTCATGACCCCGCCTGAGCTGAAGGACTACGACCAGCTGGACTCTCCGCACAACAAGTTCTGGCTGCCGCTGAACTGGTTCTGTAACCTGGTCACCAAGTGCCGCAGGGAGGGGCGCGTCCAGGACCCCTACACCTTCAGGACTCTCATCGAGGTACGGAAAAGTCTTAGAGACGTTGTGTGAAGTTGTCGCTTCCTGATTGAAATTGGTTGTTTGTTACTTAGCGAGGAGCGAGGAGGGCCGGGGAAAAAAACGAAGCATGTCCCCAATTTGCTGTTTCGTGGCCTCAGCGTTGAAATGGTCTTAATCAAATTACTGCAGTTCACCGTACGCGAAACTCACAACTTCAAGAAAGAGGGTCTTCTTGGCGTTTCATTTAATGTCAGAAAAAAGTGTGTGGCAATAGTAAATTTTATTTCAGAAAAAAAAAAACTACGACAATTTTCTTTCGAAGAAAATATGACCTTGCTCACGATCAATGATACGGCACGTGACTTGAGTACTCAGGCACCCATTGGTCCTTAAAGTCACGTGACCGAAGTGATGGGTCATGCATACTGACGAGGGCAATTCGGTAAGTCACAATATTTCTTGTACCAAAATATACCCACAAAATGAACGTTATCCAATCATAGGATTGTTCCTATTAAGTCCTGAAGAAACCAAAAAGAAGCATTTTTCAACTGTTCTGTTTAATTACTCTCAGGACAGTGCCCCTCCTCGCTTCTCCGCCGTGTGTTCGTGAGTTAAAATGTTGACCACTTATCTTCCTACCATCAGAGGGGGCCTGCGGGCTCTCAGCCTCTCGCACGGCCGTTACTATGGTTACCGCAGGGCCGTTCCCATGGTTACCGTACAGAAAAGCGCTTCCTTCCCTCCTCTGCCGAGGGAAGGGCGGGTATTCGTAAGTCAACCTCTTACTTCCTTTCTTCCACACCTAAGATTGTGCAATATTCAATATTGTTCAACTTTTGGAGACTTAAAGGAAATTTCAGCTTTGTGAGGTCTTCATCAAGGTTATTATAATTTGCTTGACGTGGTAGTCTTACTGATTGGACGGGTTTTGTCTTGTTTTTTTTCTTGTTTGTCTTTTCAGGAGTCTAACAGCATCAGAGGGTCCTTGGCGATGCTGTACAGCTATGACTGGATCAGCGTGCCACTAGTCTACACACAGGTACGTGCTAATAGAAACACATGCACACACGCACACACAAACACACACACACACACACACACACAAACACACACACATGCACACACACACACGTACACACACACACACAGGCACACGCGCACACACACACACACACACACACACATAAACACACAAACACACACACACATGCACAAACACACACACACACACAGAGACTCATACTGATCATAAACAGGCAATGAAATGATGTACTCATAACCTCCTCCCATAGTCACAATAATGGACACAGAATCGGTGTAACCATAACCCCCTCTTACACCCCAGGGGATGACAGTACCGGTGTAACCCTAACCCCCTTCCACACCCCCAGGTGGTGACAGTACCGGTGTAACCCTAACCCCCTCCCACACCCCCAGGTAGTCACAGTTGCTGTGTACACGTTTTTCCTGTCCTGCCTAATGGGCCGGCAGTGGCTGGACCCGACCAGACAGTACCCTGGGTACGAGGTGGACCTGTACGTCCCCATATTCACCATCCTGCAGTTCCTCTTCTACATGGGCTGGCTCAAGGTGGGGATCAATCAATCAATCAATCAATCAATCAATCAATCAATCAATCAATCAATCTAGCAATCAATCCAACAATCAATCCAACAATCAATCAATCTAGCAATCGATTTCGCAATCAATCTAGCAATCCATCTAGCAATCAATCCATCTATCAATAAGTCAATCAATCAAAAAATAAATCTAGCAATCAATCAATCTAGCAATCAATCATTGATTCTTTTCAGAGAGTTGAGTTTCAAGTAAGTGGTCGTCCTAAGTATCTTTCGTGGGAGTAGGGAATGTGAACCAGGGATCAATGTAAACGTTAGCACTTGTTAGTTGCATTTTCTTCCCTTGAATGATGAAGCTTGCTGGCTATATTAGTCTTTAAGTCCATGATAACAGATATGGCTAACAGTTACTGTACCAGAGTGGGGATGGCTACATGTTCTCATGTTCTATCCACACCCAGGTAGCAGAACAGCTGATCAACCCGTTTGGTCAGGACGATGATGACTTTGAGACGAACTGGTGCATCGACAGGAACTTACAGGTGACGATTAATGTAAACTTAGAACTTATAACAAACAAATAAACAAACAAACAAGCAAAAAGCATAATTATTTTAACTCATGAAAGAGTATCTTTGATTGCAATGTCCAAACTCAAAGGACAAAAGTGCCTGTTGGTTAAGTGAGATCTACTGGAACCATTTGGACCCAGATTGTTGTTGTTATTTATTGTTGTTATTTCTTGTTGTTATTTATTATTATTGTTTACTGTTTACGCCAGATCTCGTACCTGGCCGTGGATGACCTGTACATGACCAACCCAACGTTGGAGCAGGATATTTACTGGAACCAGCCTGACCCGGACTGTTTATTATTGTTTGTTATTATTTATTGTTGTTGTTGTTGTTGTTTAACGTTACTGTTTACGCCAGATCTCGTACCTTGCGGTGGATGACCTATACATGACCAACCCAACGTTAGAGCAGGATATTTACTGGAACCAGCCTGACCCGGACCTGCCCTACACCGAAGCCTCCATCAGTAACCGTGTGATGACCGAGCCCTTCCTCGGATCTACATTTGACATGAGGTGAGCCCGCGGATTCTTTAGACTATCTGCCGCCGCGCCGCGTGCCTGCGAAACTGATGTGCTTAGAGCGAATATACAGATACAGATAAGACATTAGGGTGCTTAAAGAAACAGCCTTCGTGGCGGAGGTCAAAACATAATCTCCAATCAGATCTTTTGCTGGCCACAAAGAAAGCATCAAATTTTTCAGGCAGCCATTTTGCTACCGGTGGTGAAATGGTGTCTGTCCAATTTGATACTCTCCTTGCGGCCACCGAATTCGAAAAAATCTGCTTGGAGATTAGTCAAAACGTATGGTCAAACAGTTACTAACTGTCCAACTTTCTTACAGACGACCTTATTCTATTCCTTCCTCAGGCTGAACGTACACAACATGGAGTTCACCAGTCTCCCCACCGTGCCGGAAGAACCCGGAGAGAAACGGTCGGACAGCAACAACAGCCTCCACAGCCCGGCAGGACCCGCCATAGTGGTCACAGGTTTGCATCGAGGTTTGCTCGTTCTCTCACAAGCAGTGAGAAACACCATAATTGGTTGCCAGCACAAAGGAGGGATGTACATAATAGAACACTAAGGTATAGCACAAAACTGACACAGTTTAAGTGCCGGACACAGCGCATGTTAAACAGTACACTACCCTATTGTGTCCGCCTGCTGAATGACAGTTAAAGTAGCAGAACTGTAAGTCATAATGGTAGTGATTTTATTTGATTTTATAGTGATTTATGTCTTTGTTAATTCTGATTTGCAATGCATAATGCTGATAAGCATAGTGGAAAGAAACCGCAATTCAGCACTTGTGCTGCAAGGGTTTGTGTTGAATAATAAACCATTCTCTCTCTCTACAGAGAAGGACGGCCCCAGCAAGACAGCATCCGTCCCGCGCGCCAGTCACAGCGCCTCCGCCCCTTCGTCTCCTCTACTGACTCTCGGAGGTAAGAACGCCGGGAAGGGGCGAGGTTTCGCCTCCCCAAGGTGTCTCAGGAAAGCCCTGCTGACGTCTAAGACGCGCGCGAAGATGGAGAGTCCCTTAGAGCTTGAGAAGTTGGACAGGAGGCGACCTGTGTCTTGGGGCGGAAGGGAGGGTGGTTCGAGCGCACTTCGGGACAACTCTGTCGTTAGCTCAACTGAAGACAACATGGCCGACATCACGAACAGACCAGGAGAGACGGCGGCCCGTCTTGAGGTACGCAATTCGCAATGGTGGGCGGAGGAACATGTCTGGCTAGAGGACGAAGGAAAACCACTTCTCAGCGTTCAGACCAACGAAACACACGCAGACACCCCAGGTGCTAGAGGTCACCTTCAAAAACAAGATGGCGGACCGGACTACGCGTCGAACACAGCCCGAGGAAACAGCCATGTGCCGCGAGTGGACAGTTCAGACCCTGGGTCCGTGCAGAGGCTGACTGTAGTGTGAGGGGTGTAGCGTCTATGGTTGAAGTATAGGCCAGGATGAGTCTCTTTCGCATGATCATAGTAGTCTTGAAATTTACTCTCCAAGCAGAGGCTGTGGGGGAATGATCGTTAGCTTTTTATATATGGCTCTTTTTTGTCGCTAATTATAATCCTACCCGTTGGTGGCCGCGGAGCTTCTCTGGTTAATGGATACTGCCTGGCCAATTTGATACTGTCTTTTTGCCACCGAGAGAGATCTGCTTGGAGATTATTGAAATTGGTTTTGATTTTACACTTTTAGCGCATATATTAGTTGACAGCAATCCCAATATGTTACTCAGAATGATGTTTTTACGCCTGTTCAAAATTTATGAAATCTCTTGTATTGCTCAAGTAAAGTTTATTGTGCACTCTGTTTTAGATTTGTGGAAGCAAAACCTTTTTTTTTCTCTTTTCGATTCCCCATATATAAGTGAGGTTGATTTTTTCTGATTTCAAGTTTGTCATTATATGTGTGTGTATGTGTGCGTTATGGTGACATATCTTTATGAAAAACAACACAATGACTTAAGGTGTGGGGATCCGGAAACTTTAATATCAACCACCCACAGCAGCAAATACGGGCAAGTAGCATTTCATAGTTGCGTCTGCAATTTTACTTATTATCTAATTTTGCATGACTTTGCATGGAAATTGACAAGTAAAGCACCGTCGACTTTGACTCAAAGTTTGAGGTACATATTTCTCAATCAATGCTCTTATCATTTCTTCATCGACATTGGCTGGTGAGACTTGACTTGACTTGAGTTACTCCGAGGAGCGGTTATACTGGCTATGAAGATTCAGATCGAACTGTTTAACGCCAGCTTTTCTCCCCAGGAGTACAGAACAGCTCAGATCGAAAAAATGCCATAAAATCTCCTCCAACCAGATTTTGAGGCAATTTAATACGAATCTGTGTTTTTGAACACTTTTCCTCAAGATGTACCAGATGAATTTTTTTCTTCAACCTCAAATGACAGTTTTTCGGGGCACAGAAAACGGGGAAATAATTTTCATTTCTTCCTCCATGATAGCTTAGATCACAACGTTAATAAAGCAATATCTAGCTACGACACATTTTACACAATACTTGTATATTGCATATCACACTTTTGCGTTATGATATCTACAAGAGAAATATACACACCACTTCATACATATATACATACACGACATCATCATGTTATAACTTAGTATACTTTGCTATATATTTCAATAATTTACTTTACGTCTGAGTTTTATTAAAGCACATGCCTTTAAGTCACATTTTGCCCACCACTGACAGGCTGAATTGTACACAGTCAAAAGGAGTTCTAAAATCTTTTTCTTCCCTCTCTTAAATAGCAGGTTCTGTTGGAGAAATTTTGATATCTTGGTTTTAATTCTGTTAAGGTTTAGGGAATATTTCGCCATGCTAGTATTGCCTATGGACACTAACCAAGAGCAAGATTATCCATTTTTTTACATTGAAATGCATTTTTTTCTGTTCAATTTTTTAAAACTTTGCGAAAGGTTCATAAATTAGAAAAACATACATGAATACATACACAGAAACTTTACGACGTGTAGACCTTAATTTCCGCAATTTCCCTATTTCAACCTTAAAATGCATTTTTTCAATTTTTTATCAAAATAAATTTTGCGAAAACTTATTGAATTGAAAAAAAGTACACATAAGGAACTTTACGACATGTAAACACATGCTTGACACATGGGACACTGCATACTACCCTACCTGCAAATTGATAATTTTTTTTTACCTAAAAATGCACTTTTCTGTTAAAAATCTTCAAGAGTTTGAAGAAAAAGTTACAATTATGATCTTAACTTTGCACTCGACACATGCTCGACACATACACTCCTGCATATTACATTACCTTCAAATTTATCAATTTTAACATTAAAATGCATTTTTCTGTTCAATATTTTCATCAAACCTTGCGAACACTTTGTAACAAATAGGTATACACGCGCAGCAACTTAAGAATTACGACATGTAGACCTTAACTTTAGACTCTACACACGCTCGACACTTGGGGCACTCCTGCATATTACCCTACCCGCAAATTTATCCGTTTTTGACACAAAAATGCATTTTTCTGTTAATTTCTGGAAGAAAAAAAGAAAAATACACATTTATGACATGTAGACCTTAACTTTGGACTCTACACACGCTCTACACATGGGGCACTCCACCATGCCCTCCCCGCACGGCACGCAGCACGCGTAGTGCCCGCACGGCAGGAACACGAGCTCCACCTCGCGATCCATGCACACCTTGCAGCACCGCTCTTCCCGGAGACGCTCCAGCTCCGACTGCAACTCGTGAGGGATGCCCTCTGGAAAAGAAAAATTATGATAATAAGCCTGCAACAATCCTAGATCATTTGCCAAAGGAGTCCGTCTCCCTTTGGGACACTAATAGCTTTTCATCCAATTACTCCAAAGTAGCTCCTCTGGAGAAATTTGTTTCCTTTTTATTTATTTATTTATTCAAGCTTTGCCACAAGTGGAAGGGAAGGGAGAAACAGGTGGAGACCACCTTTAAAGGCTCCCTCCCCAAAGACATAAATGACATTGCAATCAATCATAGTTAAAACTAATTAAACATATTGCACAACATCGTAAATAGACAATAATAACAATATATATAATTGCACAATTTCATAAAAGCTAGATCTCTGCACATGTACATCCGGCCGTGGAAGTGCCCCATGTCTACCGTGGCCTTATTGCCAGACATGTGGCACACCGACAAGCAGACGTCCACGTGCAGAGATTGTCAGTAACAAAATGATCATTAAATCTCTTGGTCAGCGATTTGACAAGACCCCGTTTGAATGTTAAAAGCTCGGACTGCCCCGAAGCGACAGCCCCCATGTCCCGGACTCTGACTTCCAGTCTGTTCCACTCAGCCACCAAGCGAGGGATGTAGGAAGTAGCGAATGTTGATGTTTTGCAGCGAACTGGCATTAGCATATGAGACCTACTGCCTCTTGTTGGACGTGATGAAAATGAAACATAATTATGCATGTCTAAATCGTACACATTAGCCGTGGACTTAACATACAACATGATGTCAGCGATCTCTCTCCTATATGAAAGAGGTAACAGGTTGAGGTGAGCTAGTCTAGCCTTGTAGTCAAGTTCACAAGCATTGGCATTCCTAAAAAAAAACTTCCGATTAATGTATAAGTAATATTGATTTGATACTTAAATACTTTATATGACTCAGACACAAGGACAAGGTATCCACTTTAATCACTTTGGCAGACTTTGGCGATGTTTGTAGTTTTCGACTGTGTTTGGTAAATTTCGGAAATATTAATGGTCAGTACACTTTCGGTAGAATTCGGTAAAATTTAGAAGTGTTCGATGAAATTTGTGCTCCATTGAATTTGGCGGTGTTCGGCAAAATTTGGAAGTGTTCGGTAGATTTCGGTGGTGTTCGTGGAAATTTGGAAGGTGTTCGGCAGATTTAGAAAGTGTTCGGTAAATTTCGGTGGGGTTCGGTAGATTTCGATGGGGTTCGGTGTTACGTACAGAGAAATAACGGTCCATTGAACCGTGGACTTTTGCTACCGTGAACATAAAACGAATTGCAGAGTATCAGAGTACCATCTGACCTGAAGAGAAGCTGCTTGCCCCCGAACTGTTCCCAGCCTGTCCGGACACCGTCCAGTCCGGCAAACCCGCCGCTTTCCCGCCCGCCGCGGCGTACCCCAGACTGTTACTGGACAGCGAGGCTCCCCCTGGTGCTCCCCCGTGGTACTGCAGCGTCTTCCCCTCGTGTTCCTCCAGCTTCTTCCTCTTGAGGCGGCTGTACTCCTCCTCCAGCGCGCGGACGGCGTGCAGAGCCTCCTCCGGGGACGTGAAGCCTCGCCCCGCCGCCTCCAGCCGCCGCCACACCGCGTGCTGCACAAGCCCCCGGTCGTAACCCTGCGCCACGATCGACGCTATCACCTAATACATTGTTAAATAGAAACACTTTACATTTGGAACCGCATATTTCCCTATGATGTAACAATGCCTAGTATGTGTGTCACAATTACAATACGTTCCGGAATGTATTGTAAACAGAAAAAAACTAGCTTAAGTGCACTATGAACTATGTAACACCTTTAGTGCACTATGCACCAAGTAACATCTAGAGTCAGTGCACAGGAAACCAGTCAGAATTGCCCTGATGAAGATGACAGAAGGTCATCGAAACGCTGGCTCGTGAAAAATAAATGGTTGTGATAGAAAGAACTTTGCTTTGCTATTCACTAAAGCATTGCTGTTATTGGTTAGTTACCATCATTATCATTGTCATTCTTTATTAGCGTAAAATCAAAGTAAATAGTAAGAATAAAAGTAATCATATTAAAAGAAGGTATGCGAGGGGAAGATAAAAAAATCTTTATTTATTATGTATTTTGTTTATTTGTGTAACATAGGGCCCCACTGAAAAACAGTGAGTGGGAAACCTCCTATATATTGTAGAATGTAGTACATGTATAACTTTCCACATCGTCGCTCATTTCATTGTATCTTCTTTTTCGCACGTGTTGTTTGTCTTTGCAATTAATTAGCCTTCGGGCATGTAATCGCCATAAACTTTCTAATCCTTTCTAATTCTGTATAAATATGACAGAAAATAAATAAATAGGTAACCTCGGTATCCATGACCTCGGCCACACTGGGGCGGTTCCCGCCCTCCCCTAATTTTTCCCGCGCTCTTCGGTACTCTTCTTCTAACTCCGTCACCACGGCAAGCAGTTCCTGTGGGGATGAAAGGAATAGACTATAGTTTATTCACTGACAGGTTAAAATCACTCACAGCCATTTTTTTTCTGCTGAATTGCGTAGCAGTAGTGTGTTCCGCTCGGAACCAAGAGGTCCCGGGTTCGAACCCCACCCTGTCACCGATCTTGTGCCCTTGGGAAAGGCAATTCATACAACTTTCCTCACTTCACTCAGGTGGAAATGAGTACCTAGGGACGTTCCTCGGATAGGACGTTAAATGGAGGTCCCGTGTTTGGGGAGAGCCACACCTCGCGCACGTTAAAGAACCCACCACACCTTTCGAAAAAAGAGTAGGGGCATGCCCCGGTGTGCGATGGTCCAAATACTTATAATTTGAGTATTCAGACTCCAGGAAGAATGGTAGCCTGGGTACCATCCGGATTTTCGTTCCGCAACGCTCGATTTTTTCGAGCGCCAAACAAACAAACAAACAAACAAACAAACAAACAAACACCTGCGTGGACGGGAATGTGGCGTTGTTGTTCTCGAGCCGCCGCCAGATGGCGTGCTGCACGACCTCCGGCTGGTGTCCCATGGCGACCACGGTTCTGGCGGGCTCCGTCTCCATGGCCGACAGCACGTTCAGCGGCTGCGCGGGGAGGTTCTCGTTCACTTCCGGGCCGGCGTCGCCGAACCAGGGGACGGCTGGGGATCGAGACAAAACTTTAATGTTTCTCACATTCTTTAAACTGTTAAAATAAATCATGTAAAACACGACGATAATGAGTTAATGTTTCGTGATAACAAGGATTTGTTTCATACGCGTTGTGCTTGGCAAAAGAAATTCTCAAAAAGACATGCACTTTGCATGTGTTGAGGATGAATACCCTGAATACGTGTTGAGCACGCCTTGATCATGTGTTGAGCGCGCCTTTATTACGTGTTCAGCACGCCTTGACCATGCCTTTACCATGCCTTGACCATGTGATAAGCATGCCTTGAACATGGGATAAGCATGTCTTCACCATGCCTTGAACATGTGTTGAGGCCTTGACCATGTCTATATAATAAAGCATGCCTTTACCACGTGTTGAGCATGTCTTGACCAGGTGTTGAGCATGCCTTGACCATGTGTTGGGCATGTCTTGATCATGCGTGATCACCATGCATTGACCATGTGTTGAGCATTCTTTAAATGTGTTAAGCATGTTTTGACTATGTGTTCATCATGCCTTCACCATATATTGACCATGTGATAAGCATGCCTTGACCATGTGACGATTATGCGCCGATCACGCACCTGGCGGAGCGGACAGCTCCTCGTATCCAGGGGACAGCCAGGACAAGGTCATCTCCCTGGGCGACGTGGGCGTGGCCAGCTTGGACGGGCGGTGGGCGCGCCCAGACCCCTGCCCGCCTTCATCATTCCCGGCTACATCCTGTGGGTAAAGATGCATGGAGCGTTTTAGGGACACCAAATTTGAGCTATTCCAATTTCAGTGAATTGTAGCCCAATTCAAGCAAGTACAGTTATTTTCAATTTAATTTAGAGATCTTTTGACCCCCCTCTACTAAGGCTTGAATAGCTTACAAAAGAGAACACCAGCAGATAACTAAAAAGAAAGTTGCCCATAGAATTAAGAAAACGTTATCCGTCAAAATGCATTTGTTTCACAGAACAAAAGGCTAGAAATATATGTGCAAATTCAAGCAAAAAAAGGCCGCCATGTTGGTGGGAAGGTTAGATCCAAGATGGCGACCGATCAGCCGAACTCACCTCCCCGACCTTGTACTTATTCAGCACGTCCTCCACGAACCGCGCCCCCTGGCGGTTCTCCACGAACTTGCACATGGGGTACCAGCGCGCATGCTCGACCCAGGGGTCATCTCCCGGCTGCCAGTTCTTCAGCCCGCCGCCGCAGTGGAAACACCGAGCGCTGTCACCGCCCTTCACTGCGCAGGCGTGGGAGAAAAAAGAGATCAGAGATGAAAAACTTCACCTTTGTGTAGCCTCTACCAGGCGCCAGAGGTTTAAAAAAAATAGTAGAATTGGCAAAATAGACTCGATGGCAAACTTGTACCAGAGGAGTTAGCCTAGCCTGGGTACCATCTCGAACGTTGCGGAGCGAAAATCCACATGGTACCTAGGCTAGAGTTAGCCAGCTGGAGGGCAATTGGCAACTCGTCGAGCTCTGGCATACTACTAAGTATTCAGTCTATTTGGCCAATTTCTACTATTTTTGTTTCAGCAAACCTAGGTAGCTTAGCACTGGCTAACTTTTACCCATTCTGATTCACAAGAATGAGTCATAAAACACATAGACGCCCAGAACAATATTTTACACCTATTGTGAGATGTAAGAATAAGAAAAGAATTGCATCCGCGCCAGAGGCGTGGCCAAAAAATGCGGTTGAGAAAAATGGGAAACGAATCTATTCTGTGTTTTACGATGTTGATAAAATCAAGGAGGTTTCTAAAAAAACATACCTTCTTGATAAAACATGGCAATTGAAAGGCAGTAACAACAGAATACTGCACGAAGAGACAGGAAGAAGGGATAGCAGCTTGCAAATAGCAGAACATAATTTACAAATCTAGCTTGAAAAGAAAAAAAAAACTAGAATCGTAGAATTGTAGAATCAGGGTCCCACTAAAAAGCAGTGTTACCACAGAGTGGGTCACCCTGGGTAAAATGACGGAAAATGGAATAAAAATAAATTTTCCGTCTCGTAAACGGTCGATGCCATTTCGCTGAATGGTCGATGCCATGTCCGAGCGTCCCAAAACAAATAAAAAGTAATATATGTTATAAAAAGCAATATTCTAATTGCAAATATAAGGGAGGGTCATGTAGAATAGTAAATATTGGTGAAAAAAGCAAAAAGCACAGGCTCGGATTCGAACCTGGGTCCAAAAGTATAGCTCTAAAACCCAAACCTTCACCCTAACCTCTACACCACAAAACATCACGGTGTGGAAGGACTGTCCTGATATTAAAGTTACCCGTTCTGGGATATGGCAACGACCGTTTTAATAGGCCACGACCGTTTATGAGACAGAAATAGCATCGTGGTCACCTTTACCAACTCCCGCTTCCTGTCTCACCGGAAGTAAAACTAAGAAAAGAACCTTTACATGTGTAGAAGAATCCCGCCTTGGCGAGCTCGGCAGGTGAGAGGAAGGTGTGTGGCCAGGTGTGGTACGTGGACAGGCGCAGCGTCTCTGACGTCATCTGGGGGAACTTGGGCACATCGTCTGCGGATGTGGAGAAATATAATATTGTTTATTGTAAAAAAAACAAAGAAACTGGTCTGCAAGGTCTGACATCAAAGTGAAAATCTAAATAGTAAAATCTCTCTTTGTACAGTTTGCACTTACGCCTACTTGATTATTGATATATTCATGCAAAATAATCTAGCAACCTGTGTGGATTTCATATTATATGTGTATATGTTATCTATAAGACATTGAAAAACATCCAAAACATCCTTCTAGTTGAATGTGTACACGATTAAGTAAAGATTTGCTACCAATACCTAGTAAACCAGATGAGACAGTTTTTACAATCATCAACACAGTTGGTTTGTTCTCGAGATCTCATGTTAATATAATTTCAGGTAACACTCCTTTTCTTAAGCACTCTTATTGATGATTAGTTGATCAGTGATCGCTCTCCAGTGGAAAAGGGCCTCAAAAGTAAGGGACTTTTTGCGTCATCCTTTGATATTATTTGATGTATGCCTATTTTGGTCCGCTTATACTTCTGTTACTTAAGTTCGTGCTTAAGTTACCTTATTTTAATTTGCCCCTTGATTGTACATAAGTTTTTTTTTTTTATTTACTTCAGAATTCACCTCAAAACAAGGCTCGTGAGAGCCACTTACGTGTTTTGGGTTACAGTGATGACTGCGTGGTCAGATATTTGTTCACCCTTGATTTAAACCGTTGGAGGTTGTAATTAGCGGTGAAACATTCACGGGGAAGCTTGTTCCACAGTGAAGTGGTTCTGGGGAAGAAACTGTCAGCATGAAATTTTCTCTTGACTGATGGACTATTGAGGAAGAAAGGGTGATTTTCTGCTGTTGAGGTGGCTAAGCGTGTTCTTGCAGAGAATGTTCTGAGTGGGGGTACGAGGGAGTGAAGTTCAGCAGAGCATTTCTTCAGTGATTACTTTATGTTGCATTATATTGTTATTATTTTATTGTGTTTGGGGTTTTGTCCCCCAGGGTGCATTGAAAACCGCCCTCCTGGGCGATATGTTTCTCTGGTCAAATAAACAATAAACAAAACAACAAACAACAATCCTTGAATGTTACATACTAGTACACTGTGTTTATCATACCGTTTGGTGATGCGGCTTCCGTCCCACCGTTACATGTGGCCTGTCCTGCCGCGCTCGTCTCCCCGTTACAGCCCGGCACGTTCCCCACCTCCTCTCCCTTCACGAACGGGCAGTCCGGGTAGTGCTTCCTGTGCTCCTCCAGCGGGTCGTCCCCGGCACACCACTGCCGCAGCACGCGGTAACACACGAAGCAGCGCACGCGGTCTCCATCGCGAAGGCTGTAGAACCCTGCCCGGGCCAGCTCGGCCGGGCGCACCGGGCAGTCCCGCGGCCAGTCCCGGTACGTGTCCAGGCGGGCCTGCTCGCGGGTGAACGCCGAGGGGTCGTCGGACGGGCTGTCGCCCAGCGGGACCTCGTAAGCGATGCTCCGGCGGTTTTCCGAGGTCTGCCCGGCGCCTGAGGTTTTGTTCCTGCGCAGGACTACACCGTCTTGTGCCGCCGGGCTTGGCTGTACGGGCGGTTCCTCAGAACCTGCCGGGTGGACTAGAGATGACATGATCGGCCGTCCTCACATCGTTCGCGATCGCTCAGGAAATATTGAATCTGAAAAGAGAAGTGTGCCCACTTTTATTTGTCCGATTAGCGGTAGTTCATGTACGGATGTGTCATACATTGTTCATGTTACAATGGGACTGGGCTGTACGGGCGGTTCCTCAGAACCTGCCGGGTGGACTAAAGATGACATGGCCAGGCGGGCGTCCTCACATCGTAAGGTCAGGTAATATTGTATCTGAAAAGAGAAGTGTACCCACTTTATGCCATACATTGTTCATTTTGTACATGCTACTATTGCCATGCAATAAAGGTGTTCTTCTTCTGTTAAATCGTCTTTATTTGACGAAATCGAGGAACTGGGCTATGGGCATGGGCGGGCGTCCTCACATCGTTCGGTCAGGAAATAGAGAATCTGAAAATAAGTTAATTGAAAACCACGTTTATTTACCGCCAAAACCGCAACAAACGATGGTGTTTGTTAATGAGGCCACCGACGCCACAGTGCAGAATCAAGATTGCCGGTGAACATCGGGACCAATAGCAAATAAAATTTTGCCCTTTTACCTTTTCAGATTAGTACCTTTTAGCCTGAATACTAGCATGCTACAGTCAAAGTATGAGATTGTGAAACTCTAGCTTTACGTCTTTTACGTGCAATATAATGCGCATAGTAGCACTATTTCTATACATGTCTACATTATTATACATTTACGGAACAAGTCATTAATAATATGTAGTCCATATCGTGATATGTTTCAGTGAGTTAATGATTCATCCTACGCTGTTATTGTTACATTGACAGGTTGATTATTGTTATCACTGGTCCATCGCGCGTGACAAGGCAGAACATTCTGGTCCCTCATCTGGGACACAAAATCACAATAAGATAAACACGCTACTCCGGGTCATGCATTATGTAGCAGTTCTATTAGTCATTTGTGGCGTTATGTTGAGATATTGGTAATCTCCAAGCAGATCCCTTTCCGTGGTAAAAAGACAGTATCAAATTGGCCAGACAGTATCCACTAGCCAGAGAAGGTCACCAGCCACCGACGAGTGGGGGTAGCGACAAAAAACGGCCATATATAAAAAGGTAACGATTATTCCCCCACAGCCTCTGCTTGGAGAGTAAAATATTGGCTCATTTCAATGCGAACGATTCAAAAAACGTTTGTTGGTAACATGTAACAGCCTATTCAATATCATCATTCCGTATTCACGTAATTTGGTTATAAGGCACGCCATTATATATAGTATTGTCACGTCTAGTTTCTTGGAAAGCTGGGAACATGTGCCCCCCCCCCCCCAACACACACACACCAAAAACACAAGCTTTAATTATCCATTGCTAAAAATAATAGATCAACATAATCGTATCAATTATTGCTAATAGATAATAGTATCTCACCCCACGTACTTAAATTTTGATTTTTCTTCTGTTTTCCACAAGGCTCAGATTCGTGAACGTGACGATTTCGCAAACACCCTCGCCTGCCAGGGAAATATGATCTGTTCCAGTTGCTGCCGACAGTTTTAGTTTATATCTACCCACAAAAATTTATTCTGGTTCCATCCTACCCACATCATGTATCTACCGTGTTCTTGATAATAGCACTGTTATGTTGTGCTTTAAAAAAATATTTTGATTTATATTTCTCTAATGTATGATTGTATCATACATGCGTTACGTTTATATATCTGCTTCAAATTTTTATAAAATAACATCAAATTTTTGCATGGATTTTACTGTGAAAATTTACACAGGAAAACTGGATAAAACACCGTGATTTTGTAAATCTAACCCCGCCCATCCACACTGACTGACACGTTGTTATCATGCAAGACGCCACCCCAAACACTAGCGACACTGCGCGCATACATGACGAGGGGGGAGGGGGGCGACCGACCTGGCGTCGTCACCAAAATCTCGCAGAATTTCGCACCTACGTGACGCTATGACGTCGGAATCTTTACTCACGTCACTCGTCGTCACGTCTCAAGTCTTTTCCCGCCGATGTCTTGGGGTTTTAGATCTTCGTTTCGCCGTCCTCTAAAGAAAACATGCGACTGCGAGAAGCGAAAATCGGGGATTGCCCAATATTCGGGGCGGGGAGGGTCGGCTGGGGATTTCCAAATGATGTCATCTGGTAAACATTGCGTAATCAGGCGATACTATGTTGAAGGGGTGTTCGTTTCGAAATATTTCTATAGTTCCAAATATTTACTACCAAATATATATTCTACTCCATAACATATACTTATACATTTGTCTTACTGGTGTTAAGATATATTTGACGATAGATTTTGTGAACAATATGTCATCTGTTATCTAATAAAATGCAACTACACCCCCAAAGAATGAATACATGAACCCTACCCATGGTGCCCCGCGCGTGTCGTTGCTGTAACGTAGTGCGTGTATTGCATGACGTTGCGTCAGAACGCATTTCGCCAGAGCATTTCTCAACCACAGGAGCCAAGATGCCGGGTGAGTCATTCTGGTGAGTGTCTTCTACACTTTCTTAACCGTTACCATGGTGATAAGACCTGCATTGTAGCCAGTATACCTCACAATCGTTGCAGAACATGATACGAGTTTTGTAGGAACGCTATTCAGTAAGTTACTTCCGGATTCTGGAGTCAAACTATCTGGCAACAAATTTCTGCATGTTACCGGTAGGTTTCAGCCAGTGTTGCCCACAGAAGGTCGTTCCACCGGCCGCCAGATATTTTATAGTTTGCCTGGGACATTTTTAGGACGCTGTCGAGTCCGAAAATAGCCGAGACGTGCGTCAAAGCATGATAATAAGTTAAACTAAGTCTAAAGCGGATCTCGAGAATGTTATAACTTATATACTTGTTGGCCCTAGTTGTGTGGTAAGTGGTAAAAAGATCTAAAAACGTATTCAGGATTGCCAAAGCTCACTCTTTCTCACTCTGCCATTCAAAATGTAGTTTGCTTAGCATCCGAAGCATGTCAAAACCCCTATGCTTTATCCTCTCCAGCTCAAAAAAGGAACCTAAAACTCGTTCCCACTTTAATGGTACCGGTATGCATGACCGGTTAGGGTAAAGGTTGACGTCATGTATTTGCAGAGTGGGGAGGGGAGGGGGTGTGGCTTACATGCTTCTTCTGAAATGCTACAAAGTAGCTAACAGACGTAAAACTCTGATGGTATCTGTTAATATAAGTGAACAGGCTTACGATACTAAAAGGTAAGTCCCAGTTAACGGCACTGTAGCTTCACGTAAACTAACGTTATCCAGAAATTCCACTGTTGGCGTTGCAACGAGTTATGTACTAGTAACGCTACATTCCAGGTATATTTAAACCTGTGTATGTACTAAATTGTAAAATTTAGTAGTTTTCTACCACTACCATCCCGACAGGGCTTACCGTGAGCTGCAAGACTTTGTTCTTTTTTTTTAAGAAGACGTTTTTATTCTGTGGTGTGTTTTTCTTGTCCTTAAGCTGACCTTAAGTGACCCTGCGCCATGACGGACGTGACGAGACCAGCCGTCCGGAAACCTCCCGACCCGCCCGGACACCAGGCCAAACTCCGAGCACGGAAACCGCCCGGCTGGCGGGCTAAACCTCCGGTACGCTTGTCTCACTATTAAACTCGTAGACTTGGGCCACGAGAACCATAGTAATTTATTACAAAAGGCTATTGACTTGTTCCCGCGTTGGTCTCCGACAGATTAATAGCTTCTGACTTTAGGTTAACACCCCCTCCCCCAACAAACATTGTCGCTCGTTACTAAAATAAGTAATTCTAGTTAGATTTCCCCTTTCTAAACCATTTAACTGCAGAAATTTGGGTTGTTTTGGGCCACGTACGAGTATCATTGCGTTAGAGGGTGCATGCATGGAAACGGGAAACCCTCCGTTTCTAACGATCACTTCCGGGTTCGGTTTCTAAGAAGACAGTCCGTTTCCAAGGGCCGAAAAAAACAGTTTCCCTCTCCGAAAACAACAACAAAGTTATTTTCTTAAAACTGTTGCAGCTTGAAAACAGGTCCCTCGGTTGCCCTTAGTTGCGCAATGTACCACTTGACGTGTTGTTGAACAGTTCACTGAAGTTCAGCTGACGTGGACTAGCGGGGCTAGCCTGTTGTTGACACGTCATTTTTGCCGCGTTGTTTTTGTGCCCGCCCGGTGTTCAGATCAGATCCGGCGAGCTTACAGCTCGGTAGGTTTAGCTTTCACTGCACGTTTCCTACCTGTAAAATGTTACGATTTGTTTTTGTATTGCTTCTTTTAGTTTTAAATCAACCTTTGGTCAATGCTGTTTTTGTAGTTGATATACTTTGGAGATTTTTCTTAGGTTGTAAGAATTATTTCACTGAGGTAGTTCTGTTTGCCAACTGTACGCTAAAGTCAGGGAATTGTCAAAATGTTTTTTTTTCCACAAACAGCTTTTCTACAGTAGGTTTGTCTTACAGTTGAACTTTGCAATTTGTTATGCCAAAGACAGGCATTTCATGGTCGATTTAATAGCATGTATAAAATGCTAACTGCTGGTAGGCAACATTGAAGGTTCATTCCTGGTTAAAATGATAAGTTTAGAATAAAAATCTAAGCAGTAAAAGTAGACTACAATTTCCCTCCAAATTTTCAGGTTCCAACTTCGTCTACAAGATTCCAGGCTGTTCCATTTTCGAAAAGCACCCCCACCAGAGGGCCACCGCTATCTGCTGTTCCATTTAACGACAGCACCCCCACCAGAACACCTGTGCCCCCAGCAGCATTACCTTCAACTGCCTGTCAATCACCTGAGGTGAACCCCAATCACCATGACAACAGCCAATCAGGCGCAAGCTTGGTAAGGGCACAACTTCTATGTCGAGTTGATTTTTATCAAAATACATTTAGTGAATTCTCACACTCGTGATGGTGAAAGAAACTATAGATACTGATGATTGGTTATTGATAATTAGTTATTGATTATTATATCCCAGCCCAAGTGAGGTACAGTACTGAGGTCAGTTACAACTGGACAAATGAGACACACAGGGCTGGTTTGGAGAGACCATGGTTATTGATGAATTAGTCATTGATAATTAGTCATTGGTTATTGACTGATAGATCCTGAGCCCGAGCGAGGCGGTGAGATCAGTGATGACAGGAGCGATGCGGCTCACAGGGGCTAGTCAGAAAAACCATTATTGATCGGTTATAGATAATTGGTTATTTATAATTAGTTATTGATAATTAGTTATTGATAATTGATTAACAGATCCCGAGCCCAAGTGAGGCGGTGAGAGAGACCATGGTTATTGACGATTGGTTATTTGTAGTCAGTTATTGATAATTAGTTATTGATAATTGATTAACAGATCCCAAGCCCAAGTGAGGCGGTGAGAGAGACCATGGTTATTGACGATTGGTTATTTCTAGTCAGTTATTGATAATTAGTTATTGATTATTGATTAACAGATCCCGAGTGAGGCGGTGAGAGAGACCATGGTTATTGATGACTGGTTATTGATAAAAGTTATTGGTTATTGATTGATAGATCCCCAGCCCGAGTGAGGCGGTGAGAGAGACCATGGTTATTGATGACTGGTTATTGATAAAAGTTATTGGTTATTGACTGATAGATCCCCAGCCCGAGCAAAGCGGTGAGATCAGTGATGACCGGAGCGATGCGGCTGACAGGGCTGGTGAGAGAGACCATGGTTGTTGATGACTGGTTATTGATCACTGGTTATTGATTATTGGTTATTGATTGATTGATAGATCCCGAGCCCGAGCGAGGCGGTGAGATCAGTCATGACTGGAGCGATGCGGCTCACAGGGCTGGTGAGAGAGACCATGGTCAAGGTCACGCACGCAGCCTCCGCTACAACTAGCGTCGTTACACGGACCTGCTGCGCTGAGAATACGGTGAGAAACGACACAAACATTAACCCACATCCAAGCCAAGTCCTGGCAACCTTCTGTTCAGCAGTTGCTATAAAAGGGTTGCCCTGATTTCAAGATCTTCAGATTCTGTTGCAACCAGTTGTTAATGGTTCTAAGACCCTGTTCATACCAGACTTATATTTAGCGGTTTCAACCGGTTTTTCAAAAACCGGTTTTTATTTAACCTGGTGTGAACGCAAATTAACCGGTTTTTAGGGGTTTAAATCCGATTTTGAAAAACCACCTCGGGAGGTGGTTTTTGAGGGGTTTTTTGTGGGGTTTTTCCACCGAAAAACCTGGTCTGAACGCTAAGGGTTTATTGAACCGGTTTTTTGCGTCATAATTCCGGGGTCACGGGGTCAGCATCCTGGCCGTGTGCGACCTGCAAGCTTTTTTGAGCGCGTTGTTTTGACCAACTTGAGTTCGTTTCCACTGTTTTTCCACGGTTTTTCTTCATTTTGCGATGGAATCAGCAAACGCAACCTGGTCGGCGAACGGGACGCTCCTGATACTTAGGTTGAAGAGCAGGAGTCGCCAAATTCGAAAAAGCTAGGGGGGGGGGCGAGGGCTCTACCGAAACAAAAATGTTGGAGGAGGCTGATTTCTTGAAGATAAAGGATCAGTGCCGCACTAAGGTAAAAAAAAAAAACTGAAGACGGCATACAAGCAAGAAGGCCAAGGAAAACAATCAGAAGAGCGAGAGGAACGGTTATTCAAACTGCAGTCATGGCCGATTAATTGGATATTCACCGGACAGGATTTTTACAAAACCGGTTATCAAAAGTCTGGTATGAACGCTAAGGGTTTTAGCCGGGTTTTTGAAACCGCTAAATATAAGTCTGGTATGAACAGGGTCTTATATTGCATTGGTACAACACAGAATGGTCAGTGAAAGACTAGCCATCTACCAACCTAGTTAGTTAACATCTTAGTTAGTTCACATCCTAGTTAGTTCACAGTTGCTAGCGACTGTGGGATTGAACATAAACTTTCCAGGATGGTACCCAGGCTATCATTAAATCAATTAAAAAGTAAATGATATTGGAACAATGTAACAGGCAAAGAACCTGCCCAAAAGTTAAGGCCTCCATGTAATAACTCAGTCTGTATGTGATAGTCATTAACATGTTGTTCTCTCTTCCCTTGTCCTGTTCTGTTCTGCAGAAGACAGAGTCCAGCCATCACACAGCGACTTTTTCGACAGCCAGACAGACAGAATCCTACCAGATGGCCATCCCTACAGACGACCACGTTGAAGCCGGGCCTCCGCCGCTCGGTAAAGCGTCCATGGCGGCCATTCCGAGCGACAACAGCGCGAAAACTGGACCTAACGCACCACTGACGAGGAAGACAAAGGCTCTCCCTGTCCGGAAAGCGGCTCCTGTTCCGCAGAAATCGGAAAAGGAACCGTCGACCGAGGCTTCTCCAGTTGAGAGGCAAGATTCGCAGCCCGACCAGGAGCTGGGACAGACGTACTCCGTCGCAAATCTACGAAAGCTGTTCGGAGAAACGTACTCCGTCGACAAGCCTGGAGAGAGTCCAGACTTCAGCGGTACCTACAAGGTGCCTTCGCAAGGCAAGGATTTGGGCAGCACTTTTGTGGTGAGGACAGAGAACGCAGAAGAAGTCGGTGCATTGCCATTTGAGAGTACGGACACAGTGAGGCTTGAAAACGCAGAAGAAGTTTGTGCTCAACCGTTCGACAAAGACTTTAACAAAGGTAGAAAGTTATGCCTGATGGCCATCCCTACTGAATCACATGAGGAGGAGGAAGAGGCTGAGGGTCAGTCTCAAGGAGCTACGAATGCTCCCCAGCCTCCCTCCCTGACTGATGCAATGAAGTCAGTAGTTGTTAAAGACATTCTTCATGAGGGCTACAGCCTTGACCTTGTGAGACATGCGGTTTGGCGGAGGTTGCACTCCGCGGGGGGTGTCGCGTCTCGGCCCGAGCTCCTGCAAGCCGTGAAGGACTTGGAGCAGGAGTACACGGCTGCAGAGAAGAAGCTCGGGGACAAGGACTTCCTTAAAGAAAAGGACGAAATAAACCTGGCCTTGGCCATGGAGCGGCGGGAGGTCAAGGTCGTCCTGTCACAAGGTCACGACCTTGAGACGGTGCGGCACGTGGTGTGGCGGCGTCTTCAAGAGGGGAAGGGACACTTCAAGTCCGCTCCCGAACTCCTTCAGGCCGTTTCCGACCTGAAACGCGAGTACGAGCAGGCCAGCAAGAAGCTCGCCGACGCGGAAAAGACTTTCGACGAGAAAACGGTCGCGTACAAAGACGGAGGAGGGAAGACGGTGGACGCTACGAGCGCAGAGCGCGTGCACAGATCGAACAGCGTCGCGGACGCGATGGCAAATCCGGTCGTAGAGAACGTTCTCAGCGCGGGGTACAGCCGCGACCTGGTCCAACACGCGGTGTGGCGAAGGCTCGAGACGCACGGCGAAAACTTCCCGTCCGTCGCGGAGCTCCTGCAGGCGCTGAAGGACCTGGAGGATGAATACGCCCGGGCGAAGGAGAAACTCGGAAACGACGAGCTTCCCAGCATCCCTCCTGCCGTAACCACGACGACAGACACACCACCTGAACCGGAGAACGTGCCCAGTACCGAGGACATCCCTCCCTCCCCCACAACAGACAATGGTCTAGCTCAGACAACAGATGATCGGTGTAAGGTGACAACAGATGATAATGTAGAGTCGGAACTAGAGCGGTACCGAGAGGAGCACACGTGTAAGGTGTGCTTCGACGCGAGGATCGAGGTTGTGTTCGTGCCGTGCGGACATTATGCCTGCTGCGGGCACTGCGCCGACGGCATGGTGGAATGTCCCATGTGCCGGAGGGGGGTGGACTCGACTGTGAAAGTGTTTTTCTCCTAGGGCTTGCCAGAGAGTATTAGCTGTTTCACATCATCAAAAAATTGTGGAAAAAAAAGATTGTTGGTTAGCATTTGTGTCAAGACATTCCCTATACTCTTTTATGAATTGATGAAATGAAACTATAGCTGTGTATTAAAGCTGAGGTGTGGATGGGCTTGACTCATGTTGTTTTCTGTACAGATAAAAATGAAAAAAAGTGTTTTTTTTAACAATTAATTCTAGTATTTTTACATGTATTTTAGAATTGTACAATTTAGAAAGCTTTTAATTTAACAAAATCTGTCATGTTCTGTAAATTACAATGAGGAAAGTACCAGTGAGGGATGTACATATAGGAGGGTTGCATATTTATTACATTATACTGATAATATTTTATAATATTTTAAAAGTTGCCAGTATTTGGATTTTGTGCCATGATGTGTACTACAGTTGCAGAATACTATTATCGTAGTAAGGAAAAACATTTACATGTACCTGATACCAATTTATTTCCAAGTCAAGATATGATGTGCCTTTTTGTAGTATTTTCAACCATATTCTTCAGAATCAAAACTTACTTGTTTTGAATGCTGTAACTAAGGTGTGTTTACATTTCTTGGCATTAAAATCATGCAAGTGAAAATCTGTTGTCTGTGTTTGTTACACCTTTTATTGTTATTATATAATAAGTTATAGCATAGAGTCTGCATGCAAAAAGACTACAAAAGTAAACATACATAAGAAAAATACATTACTACATGACAGCTCACTATTGTGTGAATAAAATAAAACTTCAAAAAACAAAAATGGTGAAAAATCTATTACCTAGACACCTAGTAAGTAATAATATACTGTATGTATAAATTTAATTTTGATTACTTATTATTTTAGTGCATTCTTTAACAATACCAAAAGTTATACCTTATACTACATAACGATATGAAGTTACCATTAACATCATTATTATAGACCTATGAAGCTAAACGATATCAGGTTATATTATAATGATAATAATTACAACATTCCGATAAGTTCCTTTCATTTCGTTCAACAGGTAGAAAGTTGAAGTCATTTTTGAGGTTAATATTTCCAAAGACTAGGTATTATCTAAACCCTTGACAGCTACACACCACTTGTTGAAATGTGAATACCATTCACCTTGAAACCACATACACAGCCTCCTTTACCTATATATTTTACCTACATACTAGTAATATGGCAGGACAAAAACCAGCACCATGATTTTATTTTTTTTGGCTGAAAGTTACATTAAAATGTGTCCTCTTGGATCTCTCTCCTACCGTAAAGTTTGTGTGTAAACTACAATATAGATATTTTGTACTTTGTGTGAGTTAGGAAGTTAGAATTAGAAAGATGAACAGGCTTATAGACAAACAAGGTCTCTCAGTCATTGACGAAAGGTAGTGGATACTACCTGAAACGTCTGACCATTTCAAAAATCATATCCAGTTGCTTGAGTAACTGCTTTTTGGCTTATAGACAAACAGTCCACGTAAAACTAGTAACGAAGACAAGAGAAAAGCCGACACTAGAATCCAGCTTGGCACTACACCTGAACACCTCAGCCTGCTGTGAGGGGAGTTCTTCACTCTGCATCAGTCTGCAGCCAGGAGGCTGTCAGGGAAAAATCACAACAGTACAGTTACAGAAATCTTTCAACATGAACTCAAATATTTCACACTTCCATGAAGCATTTATGGATTTCTACGGGTAGTTAGTTTCTTAAAATGCAGAACTGGAGCTACATTACACAATCTAAATCTGTCCAAAAAGCAATTAACTGACTATAAAAAAAATCTTGATAAATGTCTCAAAAACACACAAACACATTCCATGCTAAGATACATTTGTACAGAACAGAGCACTATTCAACATATCACCCATTACACACAGTGGACTGGTCCAAACCCAGACCAACACCATGTAAATCTGGCCTGTACCACTGAGACAGAGGGGTGTGAGCCCACCTGGTATGGTGATGGTTGACATCTGCTCGGGCTGGGCCAGAAGGTCAATGACCTTGTGCTGGAATGTCTTGCTGACTGATGAACTCACATGTCTGAAAATGTAAACAAATAAACAAATTAATGTTTAGAAATGCAGAAAAAACAACAAATGTAATGTACGTTGCTCCGCTTTATGTCAACTGTAAATTTATGTACTTCAATGCTGTTTTCCAGTGGTTATGGGGAAAAGAGGTTTAAATTTGATGTGTTTTGAATGTGCAGTTGGAACTACTCTGTAGTACAGTACACTGGAAATGCATACTTGCAGTTTCGTAAATTTGCAGAGAAAAACTTCTGGGAAAGTTTTGAGGTTTTACAGTACATGTGAAGATGACTTAGTCTCTACCAGACTAACTACACCGATTATATATATGAGAATATTTGCCAGGGGAGTTTGGCTGCCTTGTAGGTTTGACTGGCCGCGCAGTTAGAGGGGGAAACTAACCCTCTTGCGGACTGACTCTCCTGGACTATTTCCCTTATTTCACCGAATTCTAGGATCTCCCCAGTACCCCTGTAGGAAGGCCTGGTGGAGACTAGGACCCGTACCCCTGTAGGAGGGCCTGGTGGAGGCTATAGATGACTCACGTTTTCCATGCCTGAGTGCCTGCCCAGATCTCATACAGGATGAGGTAAAAAGACTCACGTTTTCCATGCCTGAGTGCCTGCCCAGATCTCATACAGGATGAGGTAAAAAGACTCACGTTTTCCATGCCTGAGTGCCTGCCCAGATCTCGTACAGGATGATCTCTTGTCTGTCGGGGGTGCGACACACACACAGGCTGCACGGGGAGACAAGAATCAAATCAAATATGATCGATTGTGATCTTGATCCAGTTTAGTTGAGCTACTCTTCCACTGGTCATGACATAGAAGACAGACACTATGTGCAGTACAGTATATTTACAGGTTCATTTTACTGGAGAAATTCCCCTAGTTTTTATACAATGAACAGTGGACCACAGCTTAATGTCCCGTCCTAAGGACTGTTACCTTTTACAGTAGTGTGCATGTGACAACAGCTGGGATTTGAAGTCACACATAAACTTCTTGACCCACAGGACTATGCGTGCTACTAAAATGTGGTGGATAGTTCTATAACAGGACTGTAATTAGGTTGTACTCAGTCTGGGAAGTTCTTTCCTTGCTGACTACCACACATTAGGCCACACTAATTTAATTTCTTGGTTAACGGATTTTTCTAGGAAAATATTGGAGCGGGCGGGCGAAAAAAAAAACAAAAACAGTCCTAGGCATCCTATTATGGCCCAAAATGGTACGATAGGAGCCATGAAGTCAACACACCAGGCTGGTTCAAAATTTAAACAATGAATTTTGAACTTTTAATGATACCATTGCATTGAAAGATGTAATGACTGTAACAAGTAGTAAGAAAAGGACTGTTTTCAACTGTTCAGGGAAAAATATGAGCATTTTGCAGTTGATTCTGAATTTTCATTTTTATTTGCAAATCAGAAAAAAATACTCATTGAACATGCTAGACATTACTCAACTATTGTACAACACAGGGTTACATACTTGATGCATCCGTCTGTCCCCTCCACTGTCTCCAGATACTCTCTCAGAGCCTTCCTGAACTCCTCTTCCTTATCCTCCTCTATCTCCATCCTCCGCTGGACCAGCTGCACCTGGAAACATCATATTATATTCAGTGTTTAAAACTTTGCTTTTAGCACCAAGGACAGCAACACTGTCTGAACTAACACTCTCTGAAACTGCCATAGAGCTGCACCAATTCATTTTTTTAGCTTTCATGCATTTTTAGCAAAAATGTGGCACAGAGTTGTACAAACTGGGAAGAAAGACAGTTAGTATCAAGTTCTGACTTTATTCACCCCCTGAAACAGTTTGTTTTCATCTCTTCAGGTCAGCAAAGCTACAAACAAAATGTTACTGCCTGTCAGAAGTCCCCATTCCCTATTCTGGTGTCCAAACCTATTGCAGTGGCTGATTCTCTTTTGTCCCATTTGCACAGGGCAGAAAAGAGTCCCAGCACCTAAAAAAAAAAAGATTTGGACACCAGCCTACAAGTTCCCACCCAGCTGTACTCACCAGGGACACTCCATCCTCCATATCCAGCTCCTCTTCTATAGGCTGCAGCCTCACCTGGAACAAAAACACACCTCAGACATAAGTTAGTTCTCAAACTACTCAGTCTTCCTTCACGTTCTTGACATTTATATGGGGCAGGGTATGTTTCTAAGCAGCCTTCATAACCTCTGCTTCTCCTATTGGGCTTGTTATTCTGTGAATGAATGAATGAATGGATGGATGGATTAATGGATGGATGGATGGATGGATGAATGAATGAATGAATGAATGAATGAATGAATGAATGAATGAATGAATGAATGAATGAATGAATGAATGAATGAATGAATGAATGAATATTCTTGCGACCCTGTTGCCTACCCCATATGGGTTACAAGATACAATGTATCAAAATCTAAAGAGTCTGGCTTGTCTCAAGCGATGTTTCTGAATTCCTTAAGTGGTGTCTTGAGACCCACCTTGCTCTGTAAGGTGTCGAGCAGCGTCTTGAGCCTGAGAACCTGCTGAGTCAGCAGAACGCTGCTGTCCTCACTGCTGTCCAGCCGGGACAGCCCGGACATCTGACGACGGATGTCCCGCCGACGGGCGCGGTTCAGCCGAGGCTCCTCCTCCACTTTGGCATCCACCGGTCTGTATGGGGAAGATTAAGAAATGTTTCACTGTTAGTTTACTAGTTCTCTGTAAAGGAGTCTGTATAGGGAGGAAGAACTAAGGTCTAAGGTAAGGCCTGTATGGGGAGGATTTAAAAACATATTTCTCTGCTAGTTCTCTATTTTAACCACGGGTCCGTATGGGGAGGATTTAGCAAGAAATTTCTCTGTCAGTTTTCTATACATTTCGGTCTGTATGGGGAGAAGTTAGAAACAGTATTCTCTGTCAGTTTCTATCATTTTTACTTCATGGCATCCAGAGTTAAAAGTAATTCAGGTCTAGGTCAGTAAATTCTAAAGTATCTACCATCTTACTGGTGTTTGAAGTAGAAGAAGCTCTCACTTTTTAATAGGGCCAGAACATTTTTGATCCTTCTATGCTTTCATACAAGTTCTAACCTCTGACTCATAACCCCTGACCTCTAACCCCCCATACGTACTCCTGAGATCCAGTGAGATTCAGAACCTCTAACCTCTGACCTATCACCTCTAACCTTTAACCTCTGACCCCTAACCCCCATACATACTCCTGAGAGCCAGACTCCTGCTCCAGATGTTCGCTGGCCACGTCCACGGAGCGCTGCTGGGAGTCCATCCGGTTCAGAACCTCTAACCCCTGACCCTTAACCCCTGACCTCTAACCCCTAACCCCCATACATACTCCTGAGACCCAGACTCCTGCTCCAGATGTTCGCTGGCCACGTCCACGGAGCGCTGCTGGGAGTCCATCTGGTTCAGAACCTCCTTCAGCAGGAAACGGCGCACAAACTGGCTCTCCTGCGGCATGCTGGGATAGTCCTGGGGACCAATCAGAGACAAGGGTTTGAAAATTCAAAATCTGTGAGACTCAATTATTGGTCATTGTAAAGCCACAAATATGACTATCATGTCTTGTGATTGAACCCTATTACAAAGCAGCAAAGATTTTTACCTTGACCTTTACCCTGACCTTTACCCTAACCCTTGACCCTGACCCCTGTACCTGTGCAGTAGACATGAGAGCCGTGTTGATAGAAGAGTTCAGGTCCTCCAGGGCACTGAAAACCTGCTGAAACGGGCCCAGCTGCTGGGAGAAGTAGTCTGGAGAGGAAACACAGTAAAAAGCCTTAAGTTTGTGACTAAGTGCTGCATCGTCAACTAGTAAAAGCTACAATTTGAAGTCATTATGTTCTACATGTTAGGTTAACTTACATGAATGTATTATTACCAGTAAGCTAATAAAAGGCTGTACGAAAGCCAGTAGTGGGTTAGGAACACTGTGTTTTATGTTAGTTATTAATGCAGAACATCTGTTAAACTTAAAGTTACAAGTAATGTTCCAGACTATTTTACTGTTATTACAATATTAAAAAAAAAAGTATCTTCAAGTTGGCTTGTAACTTTTGTATAGAGTTAGTACTCACCACATAGCTCTCCAACATCAATGTTACTGTGAATGTGAACAAGAGAATAAAATTAAGACAACAAAAACAAATAAGAACACAACTCTAGTACAGGTTAGACAGTCATCATCCTTAACAACTTGGAACTCCTCAGTTTGCGGTAATACATTAAACTTGTATCTACTGGTAAACATCAGCTACACATGGAGCTTAGATGAACACAATGGAATTTTCTAGTGATGACATCTACATCATTTAAAACAGGGAAATCATTCTTCTAGGACTTCACCCCTTCATAGGTAAAAAGGTTGTGAGTCTACAAACTAGTTCATACACTGTGACCATCTGTCTATTGCGAACAATTTTTTCATAATGGTGTCTAGAAAAACTGATTTGACAGTACATGTATATTGAAGACCACACCCTGATGTGATACCATGATACATGTACATACAGGCCTGTATACTGTCCTGGGTTGGGCCTGTCACTTTGCATGCAACACAAACACACAAACATAACAAAACACTCCCAGTCAGTGTGCATACAGTTAGAGAAAGACTTCCCACAAAATCTAATCATTATGTTTTGTATTTAATTATTATTCAACAAGAAATTAATGATAAATTGGCGACGCAATTTGTATCTCATCTTTCAGAGATTTTCAAAGGAAAATGGCTGCACTGCCTGTGTTACACCAACTGCAAGGAGCTTTAAAATGGTTACACAAAAATTTCTCTTGCTGCCAGAGGCTGATTGAGACTTAAATGTAATTTTTGAGAAACCTGGCCAGTGGAAGAGCTGCTAAAAGTGTGAATCGTATAATTTGGCTAAAGTGTTACCAATACAAATACTAGAATGTCTGTCCTTACTTGGTGTCGTGGGTGTCTATGCGGTGGAACAGTTCGCCCAGCTCCATTTCTGACAGAGAGCCGTCGTCAAAGTAGTTCTTAAACTCAAACCACGACAGAGCTCCATCGTCTAGAAATTATCAAGAAGGTTAGAAAGATAATTAACAGACAGGCAGTTGACATTCATATGTATACCGACATATAGTAGCTACACTACATTGGACCTTTAATGGGGGTCTGCATGCCTTTTTTCATAAGGCGTAATCAGGCCTTTTTAGTCTTCGTAATCCGTAGGCAGCTTCCCCAAAAATCAACGTAATTCGTAATAGAACATTAGCTGCAAAGCGTAAAGTTGTAATCAGCTCTGAGACTTTAAGGTAATTCGTAATCGGTGGCGAAAATTTTGCGTAATTTGTAATCACTCCCCCCCCCCATGCAGGCCCTCTTTAATTTTTGGAAAGCCTTATATTAGGAGTCATAGTGTGTTTTCCTATTTATAATCGCATAGACAATGTATCTAGGGCATTAAAAAGGGTCCATGTACACTACGGAATACTTTTTATTATTTAATAGGCCCAGTTGAGGTATTTACTAGTAGGCAGACCCATATGAATATAAAGCTCTAACAGTAAGTACTACTAGCTATAGTAGTAGTACTAGTATAACTTGATTATTATATCACCTACCATTCTTGTCAGCTCTGCGAAAAACCTGTTAACAAAAAAAAAAAAAAGAGTATTAGAATGAAGGAAACAATGTGATGAAACCATTGAAACAGAAGGAGAAATATGTTGACCTATTTTTCAGGTAAACCGAGTTTCATACTAGGGAGGGGCTAGCAAATTACCGGTATGTTATGGCGGCATATCTCTGCATTTACAGCTTATATTCGCGTGTTAAATGAACACTGAATAGTCAAGAGAAGTAGTCTGACATCTGGAGAGACACTTACGTCCAGAAACGCCGACATGCCCTTCTCCTGCGGGGCGGGACCGGTGGGCGTTTCTACCGGGCTGCCAGAATTCTCCTCTCCGTCCGCCATCTTGGACTGGGATGGTCCACTTGCAGTGTGGGGAGGGGCAGGTCGGTGGTCGCACCACTACTACGTACTACTACTATCAGTCAGTCTTTAATATAGCCTCTACCAGGCTTCGGGAGGCGGCTGAAAAAGAGTACAAAACGGCCAAATAGAGAGATAGCATGCTAGTGGAGATTGTCTGCTGGGAGAGAACATTTCGGTTGCGTCAAAATGTTCTCTCCCAGCAGACAAACTCCCCTCGCATGTTATCTCTGTCTCTATTTGGCCGTTTTGTACTCTTTTCAGCCGCCTCCCGAAGCCTGGTAGAGGCTAAGTCAGTCTCATGCGTTTCTTACAAATCAATGACACAAAGAATGATCCATCGGTTAGAATTTTATTCAGCAACTTGCATCTAAAAGCAAATAATATTGCAGTCACTCATCTTTATTTATCGTTCTCTCAACCAATGAGGTTTATCCAGAGGATGGTAGAAGTTGAAAGTTACTAAAATAACGTTAAATTTGATATTGTAGATACTGTAAAACAAGGCAAAGTTACTGGAGTTTTTGTCAAGACTTGACTATTGTTTACTGTTAAATGTTGTTTCTTGTTTATTTATTTAACAGGATATTCTTATGGCCTATATGTATGTGACATTTTACTAAGTGTTTAAGTGATATAAGATAACATATTGTAGATACTGTATTGATATTGTAGATACTGTAGCACAAGGACTTTCTTTCTAAACTTAGCTTGACTTTTGTTTATTGTATGTTGTTTATTATTTATTTTTTTCACCAGGGTATACTTATCTTGATGTAACAACATTAATAAGAAAGAGAAAACTAAAAGCAAATGTCTAATTCAGCATTTCCGCTAGCATATCGTGAATGAAAATATAGTCGCAATCACGCGTACGGAATATGCCATATTCATTCATATAACCATGATGCCATGTACTAACAGTAGAATTCCTGATCTTGATGCCTGCTATTATCCACTGTAGCGGCTGGTGATTTTCTTCAGCCTCGACTGGGGGAGTTGATGTCCTCCGTCTCAAATGGAGTCAAGCGCGCGTCTAGGGGAGGGGGATTTGGAGCGTCTGGAACAGGGCGGCGAAACTTAGCCCCCTCCTTAATCGGTGCTGTTGGAAATAACACAGGAGGACTTCAGAACTTAACACCGAAACGATATCAAATTTAGGCTCCAAAACTGACAGTGGATTCAAAGGTACGTACAATATCATGGGTAATTATGCAAAAACTTGAGTTTGATGATATCTTGGTTATGATTCAAAGTTTTTTTCAACAACCCTGTCCAATTTTCATGTATTCTACCACCTGAGCGCTGTACGGTTGCTGCATTTGCAACCATCTCGTTGCCTGATAGTTGACTTACCAAGAATTCCTGCACAAGGTGTCCGTGGGTTGCAGTGCCAGCCGTTACCTGGGGGGCCGCAGGTACAGGTGCCCTGGTAGGAGCGGCCTTTGAAGGTACAGCTGAAGTTACAGGTTTCCCCTTTGCCGTATGGGGCATCGCAGCCCCAAACGTTCACGTTTGGGTTGTTGCCGACAGGGCCAGTCGGACAGAAGTCGTTGGGCCCGCCAACTTCGTAAAAATAAAAGATTAAAAAATATTTTACCCTCTCCGCGGCATGAACGTAATCAATCCACTATCCATGCATCTAATTTGCTTGCATGCTGTTCTTCTACAGTGTCATTAAAATATTGTAGGCTAAAAATAAAAATGCCCACTCAGAAGATAAAGTAAGGGGTGAGCCTCAACAGAATTCAAACTACCAACTTTATATCGATATCTCTGATCTAGAATTGATAATTACACGGATCATTTTGACACTTACCGGCATCAGACTCGGCTACTATGCCGGCAAGCAGCACCAACATGACGATGGCACGGGTACTGGAAATCAGAAGGCAAAGTAAGAATGAAGTCCAGAAATATCACAGTTATTACCAAAATTATCACACCTTTGTCCGTTTAACGAAATACTCGACATTTTGTAATGTTGTCAACAACATACATGTTAGCGGGGTCGTGTGGCCTAGCGGCAGAGTGCGCGACTCGGAACCTAGAGGTCCCGGGTTCGAGTCCTGACATGCCACCGATCTTGTGCCCTTGGGTAAGGAACTTAACACGACTTTCCTCACTTCGCTCAGGTGTAAATGAGTATTGTCCTGCCATGTATTTGTCCCCTGTGTTGGTGGCGGCATGAATATAAGTTGAAAAACTTGAGTGTGTCGTCACCACGTCTGGTGATTACATGTTGGAATAAAAATAAAAAATAAAACATACATGTATATACATAGAAACATGCCATTGTAAGAATGTTACACTCTCACTATCTGCCTACATCCCATATACTGTACTGTATGTGCATTTATGTTGGCAAGGACGTTTTCCACCTCTTTTTTCTATCCTCTATAAGCGCGCAAAACAACGCAACAAGCGAAGCGCACATCGTAGGAGGAGCCAGTCTTCAGCACACCTGTAATAATAAGGGGTCAACAGGGCCAGCTATAGACAACAAACAAATGCTCTTTATCCGGTTTAACGTTTGTTTTTAGATACTAAGTTGTGTGCAGAAAACAGAACATCCTGGAGGGAAAGATGGTTATAGAACTGCTGCCTACAGATGATTACAGGTTCATGCCAACACAAGAAAATTGTCTACACATATAATTCTTGCGATTAAAAATCAAGGCTGGTTTGACAAAATATTCCGACATGTGATTGAAATACTATGTTCAAGTGGCGCTGCGTCCCTAACCAGAAAGGTCGATAATATCTTAACCCTATCCTGCTGGTTATTCTGTGCATTATATGGTTCCTGTGCTGATGGGGATTTCAGACTGGGGACGTGAATCTGCTTAATTCGCAATTGTTTGAAGCAGCGGGACAATTAAGGGTTAATTAACAACGCCACATCAGCAGCCGTTACACTCGGAGTTAATCCCGACTCCTGGCGTGCCAAACTCTATTAGCAAAGTTCCCTACAGGCGTAACACCTACCGGGCGGTCTGTTGTACTGGGCGGAGGAAAACTATTAGAGCGCCGAAGACGGCCTGCCCAACCACGAAGGACTGGATACCCGGCTACACGAACACGGGAAAGCCGAAGGGAAAGATCGCTTGCCACAGCAAAAGCCTGTTGAACAAACTCGGGGCCGAAACACTCCAAAGCTGACCGAGGAGAATGGACATTGGTCACCAGCCTACGCCCGCCCCTCTGCTTGGGCGCCTATCCGCGCCTATCCTAGTGGCACCTACCGACCCACCCGACTGGCAGGATTTACAAAAAATACGTTTCCTCAAAGTAAGAAGGCTCAAACTGAATCACCTTGCTCAAAGTGCCCCGTTCTCTTTTTATGTAGTGACAAAACTCACCTCATTTTGCAGGACGGGCGACGCGCACTGCTGTAGTCTTCGTTTTACGGACTGACTTTGGAGAGTCTTCAGTTGGAATGGGACTCCGGGCTCTGAGCTGAGTTTATAACGCAGTGATTCGACTGGTTTTCTGTATCCACGTCATCAGAATATCATAATGTATTATAATAAGCGACACTGCCCAGGAGTGTGCGTGACCAGAATATGAAAATGATGACCGGTCACTCCAGGTTGTTCCACCTACTAGTCAACCTGTGCGACAACTTCAGGGCATTTTTAGGACAGTTATGGGTGTGCCGTAAAAATTAAGTGTCTGACAGTGATTCGTAGGGAAAGCTGTTTTTATTCCCGCCATTCGGAGTAAGATGGCTACATTTTGTGTAATTCTTGGCTTTCTAAATTTAGCGTAATGCGTATAGGATGAAAAAGGTTGTCATAGATCCATTGCCATGGTCGCTGGTCATACATAAGTGTATACGAAAAAAAGCAGCAATCGTTTCAGGGAGGAACAGAAAATGTTTACTAGTAAAATAGCAAACAAAGTAATAAAATACACTACTTGACAGTAATTAATCAGTACACTAATGTCTAATGGCAAAACAGTAAACGTCCTGTCTTAACAATTGGTCATTTACTAGTATGCATAAAGTACAGTGATTTGAAACAATTGTAACAATGCTATGTGCAGATGCTGGGTTTGGTTGCAACTCTTCTGCTAGGGTCTACATCCTATAGTAATACCAACAGGATTCAGCTAACTGTAGACTTACATACTTGATGCTACATTATATACATTTGTATATAAATTAGTCCACATCGAGCCTCCTTGTACATGTATGTATGTACATAAACATATCACATCTACAGACAAAACAGTAAATGGTTACTGTCTCAATATCAGTAGTATCTGCCTACTGGCAAACTCTAGTATTATATAGTAGTACTAGTAATTAAATACAACTATTGAACTGGATATGGGAACTGTCATATATACATGTACTAGTATGCACCATCTGCTGTGGAAAGGACTTTTCCACTGTTGTAGAAAGGAAACTGACAAGCTGCACCCCAGTTTTAAAATCTGACACTAAAATCAGCTACATGACATGACAAGTCTCCTCTTGGTTCCCCTCAGTGCAGCTGTACACTTGTTCCCGAAGATCCTGTGGATTTGGCCCTTCGTGACGTCAGCGTTCCACATTTCTTCTGTTGTCATCTTCAATACAAATCCTGGAACAGATTGAATTGAAATGCTAGATATGTCAACCTCTCATTTTTTGCAAATCAAAATGCGGTGTGAAGACTAGCTGACTGCTGCCCACCCGTGTCAGGGACCCTGTAGCAGTATAATCAAAGACTGGATTAAACTGCAATTACTTTTTGAAAGGAAAATCAGTTGACTGACGAACTGTACAATTCCTAGAATTCTAGCAGGTTACTATACATGTATACTGTCAGGCTGGCCCCTAGCCTAACCTCCAAGCAGATCCTAGGATGGCAAAACCCAAGGGTTGGCATATGGAGGTTCTCTGGCAAAAAGTGTCTTTTGCCACCCTTGGATCTGCTTAGAGATTAACCCTAGCCTGGGTGCCATCCTCCATAATAGCTAGGGACATTAGGTAGCCAGCGGAAACTACGAAGGATGGAACCCAGGCTAGCTTGCTCCCTTTAGGCGTCACAACAAAATGTAGTATGTACTAGCCTGGTTACCAAACCTACATGAATTATAGCTCCTGAGTCCTACATCTTCTCTATTTGCGGAGAGGTTGTAGGACTTGGGAACTATAATAGGTTTCACCCAGACAACATCGCAAGGTTGCCAACATGCAATTTTGTATATGCCATGGGTTTAGGTCCGGACTTACAAGTCCGGAACTGAATTGAATCGCACCTAAACCTCTGGACTTGAATCCGGACCTGAACCTAAATGTGGGTTTAGGTATGCACCACTATCCGAAGGTAAACATTGCAAATGTTACTTCTCTAGTTAATACCTTGTATTGCCTCTAACACGTTTTGGTCCAGGGCGATCTTCCCCACGGTTCCGTTCCTGTGCGGGAAGGCCGTGTAGCGGGAAAGGTCCACGTTCCGGTAGAAGTGGTCGAACAGGTTGTGGCAGAGCTGCCGCCCGCTGTAGCCGGCTGTCACAGTCAGGAGATGGAGGTCAGACTGAGAGATGTACACCCCGGTACCCGGGAGGAGCTCTGTCTTACCCGGGCCTGGTCCATGCCGCTGTGGGAAAACCACAGATCTATATCACACCGAACAACTTGTTGCACCCAATCTTTGCACATTTAATTGCAGTTGTTTAAAGCTTTTTTAGTGATGATGTGTATGTGTGTGTGTGTGCGCGTGCGTGCATGTGTGTGTGTGTGTGTGTGTGTGTATGTGTGTGTGTGTGTGTGTGTGTGTGTGCCTGTGCGTGTGTGTGTGTCAGTGTGTGTGTGTGTGTGTTTGTGTGGTTGGAGACAACAGCTGAAGTAGCACTGAAACCTGGTGAGTTAAGGTCTCGGACCGGAGTTTCTCTCCGTATTTCGAGCAATTTGACACCCTCAGCCCGACGGGCTGTCATTTCTGTACTAAACGCGGTTCGGAATTTTTCACTCTTTTGGTGGAAAGGGGTGCCGTGCCGCTTATCAATACACTTGATTGATATTTTCTGCGTCCAATTTATTTAGGGGTAAATAAGGCACATCAAAGTACATTTTTAAAAAAGGGGTCATTTTTTTCGTCATTTTTAACCATGGCTGCATGGAAAAAACGAATTTTCCCAGGGTAACGGCTTAGTACTCGAAGAAGCTCAGAACCTAATGTTTTCAAAATTTGAATTTAATTAAAATCGATGCGATAAGTTTATCGCTATCTTCGATGGCCCGAACACACCCAGAACGCATATAGAACGTACCATCCTGGCGGTCAGGCGAAAAGGCCACATAACCATCCGCGCGGACGAATACCAGGAAGTCTTCGCTGGACCACCAACATTACGCCACCTATAAAGGCTACAACTAACAGGCTTTTCAGAAAATACAAAGATATGTACACAGATATTACGATTTCAGGGATATCGCGGCCAAAACATACCATACAAAGTCACGTTTCCGGCGATTTACTGCGCACTTACTTAGACTCTGGTCAGAATTAAACTCCGACCCGGAACCTTAACAATGTTAGATGTATGTTGTAATTCCACAGTCCTTTCTACTATTAATGTCTAGCATGTATCCATGTACAAAGGGATCTCTTAAAGGGAACCAAAAGAAATGACATCATACATGTTGTTTGAGCAGTCAACATTTGACAATAAACTTTTTCTCAAACAACCAAGAGGTCTTTTTACCGTTCTGATGATTTGCTGCTGGTCTCCAACAGCAGTTGCGCCTTGCTGTGGGTCTCCGATAGCAGTTCTAAGCTGCTGTGGGTCTCCGATTGCAGTTCTGAGCTGCTGCCGTAGGTATATGACCTCTGCCCTCAGCTCTGTGATCTGGCGCACCATGGACTCTTCTTCCTGATGACAATCTTCCGACCACTGTCCAACCTCCTCCTGCTCATACTCTTGCTCCTCTGCATAGTGATAAAGAAAAAAAAGAATTGAAAGGGTCCTGGATCCAGTTTTAGCTAACTGAAGTCTGCAAGTAATGATGTAGTATGGTACAATGTGTAACTCAATGCTGAATTTTTTTCATTGCAAATGGCATTAACACAAGAACACAAGTACACACAGAAACAGACTCAGACAAATGCAAGCAAAAAACATCAATACAGATACTATGTTAACTTCCAGGCTAATTTCATTATTAAGCAGCCAGTTTCGTACCTTGTTTCACCACCACATGGTCCTGAACACCTGAGTCAGGTGTCGAGACAGGTGTGTGTACACCTGAGGGCACAGGTAAAGGTACGTTTGTACAGGTGGGCTGTCCTGCAGGTACAGGTAAGTTTTTACAGGTGGGCTGTCCTGTGAGGACAGGTACAGTTGTACAGGTGGGCTGTCCTGCAGGTACAGGTAAGTTTGCACAGGTGGGCTGTCCTGCAGGTACAGGTAAGTCTTTACAGGTGGGCTGTCCTGTAAGGACAGGTACAGTTGTACAGGTGGGCTGTCCTGCAGGTACAGGTAAGTCTGTACATGGCTGTGGTGAAAGTTCAGGTGAGATTGTACAAGTGGGGTCTCCTGATGAAGACACAGGTACATGGATGTCTTTACAGGTGGGCTGTCCTGCAGGTACAGGTAAGTTTGTACAGGCGCGCTGTCCTGTATGTACAGGTAAGTTTGTACAGGTGGGTTGTCCTGCAGGTACAGGTAGGTTTGTACAGGTAGACTGCACTGAAACTTCAGGTAAATTTCTACAGGACTCTGCTAAGAGTTCTGCTGAGTTTGTAAGGGAAGACTGTGCCATCTCCTCATTTGATGTACATGTATTATTCCCATCTTCAAATGCAGCTGAGAACAGAAGAAGATGATCCACAAGAGTGTGGATTTCCAGAACTTTGGCTGCCTGGAGGACCTGAGGTAAGACGTTTGCAGGACACTTAAGACTGGCCGTGTAGACGAAGTCTAAGATGATGGAGAAGACGTCTGCTGAGGTGAAGGTGAGGTCAAGGATCTTGGGAAAGCTGAGCGCTCCCTGGAAGAAAGGAAACAAAAAATTGTTGGTGAAATATCAGGGCTGGTACTGAAAAGAAGGGCCCTTGTTTGTATGTCACAACTTAGATTTTTGACCAGCAATATAGTCTTTAAGATATGAAGACTTAAGATATTTGTTTGAGAAGGTATTCATAACAGTTGAGAAAGCCACTAGGGGACTTATATTCGAGCTTATATTCTTTTGTATTATCAACACGTACATGTACACCTTCCCATATACTAATTTTATACACTTGTACAAAGATGCTGTGGAATTAGACTCTATTCCTTTTTAATAGCTGATTCCAATTTAGAATCTTTATTTACTTAGACCAGTTTCTACTAAGAAATACTGAGAAATGATTGCGTTGCAAAAGATGTTGGTTAGCTGAGGAATAATTCCAATCCACTCATACTACACACCTGTATGAAAACACTGCGGAAGTGAGCACTGCTGGCAGGCAGTGCTGCCTGATGACAGTGAAACTCCTGTGTTCACATCCGAATGGTCATCCACAATAAACCAGAATGAACCACCCTACTAGTACTAGTACTGTAATACTACACACCTGTATGAAAACACTGCGGAAATGAGCACTGCTGGCTGCTAGTACAGCCTGATGACAGCGGAATTCCCGTGTCCCCACCCGTATGGTCATGTCACACAACTGGTCCTGGTCTCGCATGGTCTTCAGCTGGGTCAGTAGTCGACGCTCCTGGGGGTAGGGCAGGGAAATAATCAATCAATCAATCAAACAATAAGATCAATTAATCAGCTGGGAGCATAGCTGATGTTCCTGGGGATAGCACATGGAAATGATCAATCAGTCAATCAATCAATAATCGGCTGGGACAGCAGCCCATGCTCCTGGGGGTAGGGCAGGGAAATAATCAATCAATCAATCAATCAATCGATCAACCAATCAATCAATCAATCAATAGGTATAGGGCAAGGAAACATTCAACCAGTAAGCTGATCAATCAATCAATGATCAGCTGGGACAGCAGCAGATGCTTCTGGGGATAGCACATGGAAACATTCAATCTATTGATAAAATTTCTAAAATCAATCAATCAAATAGAATTGTAGGATTTGCAAAGCAAACACATCATGTTTAGTTCACATGGTCTAGCTCAACAAACTAGTACTGCTCTGTTTATTCTTACTCAAAAACATTCATAATCATATAACGTTACAAGTACATGGTGACCAGCCCTTTCAACTCTGTCCTGCCACTTGCCACATTAAAAAAAGTCATAATGTCATCCAACACCACATGTAGTTTTCATTCTGTCACAGTAGAAGTAAATGTGGTCAATCAATTATTCGTGGGCAATAATGCTGATGCGTGGCAGCTGAAGCTAAGTAGGAAATGGCTGTGATGTGCCTGTTGATATTGTTACCAGCTCAGAGGCTAATTATTCAGTTGTACACATGCATTTGTTTATGAATTTGAATGACACATCTGGTGTGTACTGCACAAACAACTATAATTTATAAATTACCTGTTCTTGGAAAGGGATGTCGATGATGTGGGAAGCTGTTGCCATATTGTGCCCCTCTCTCTACCTTGTGGCCTGCTTGAATTATCAACTTGTGACTCTGTAAAAAGTAAAGGTATGAAATCAAATTCAAGTCCAACTCTGGCCGGCCATGCATGGAGAGCCTCAGATCATTTTAAACGCGGTTCACTGAAGTGTGATAAATGCATGTTGTTTATCTGGTTTATAAAGACGAATTCTGCGCAAATATACTTACTGTCTAGTGTTCCATGCCTTTATTAACCACCATAAAAATCTAAAGGTAATTATTTAACTCTAATTCCATGAAATTCAGTGTTTCTGTACGATATTTCTGCATACATACCTCCCACTCACATTGGTTCTTCTGATCCCCCTTCATCAGATATTGGAATCGTCCAAATTAAAAGAAAACTAGTATGTGATTTGGATACATATTCGCAATTTCTATTTCCATACCATTTTACTGTATTAAGTGTATTGTCAGGTGAAACTTAAGAAATATGATGGAGTTTTTTTACAAAAAAGGTGATTTATGGCATATTTTTTTGGGTATTAATGCAATTATATGAATTTTGAGGCTGAGAAAATTTTGTGTACGAATGCCGTGCTACAGTCCTAACACACCAAAACACCCAAGATGGCGACGTCGCCTGGTTCGGTTCTTTCTTCCTCTGTTTCTTCTGCTTTTTCCAGCCCCAAACCTGAGACAACATGCCCCATGTTCGACGGAGACGTGTACAAATGTGTAAGCAACGTCTTGAACTTATTATCTTGGAGTAAAAGTCCTTCGGAGACGCTTAGTGAAGGATAAGGTACCCATAAGTTAGGCTCGGAAAAATAATATGGCCTAGAGGTTGTTCTTGCATGATTATGACTCACCCTACTAAAATTACGTGACGTGATTTTGTCTGCAGCTTTACGTTTTTCAGTAGATAATATTTGTAACTCTTGTATCGTACTTATGTTTGTATAAGGAAAAACTCACAATATGCTAGTAAATGGACATAACTTTCTCTAGTTAATTATTTATTTGGGTAAAGAGGAAGTGTTGTTTCTTGGTTACAACTTACATGCATGTTAACGTGCGTGGAATATAGTGGAAGATCAATGAATTTGAAACGTTTTTTTTTGGTCCAGTTTCTTTCTTGATATTTTAAATGACTTTCTTCTACTTTCAGGATGTTATTGTTGGAATCAGAAAGACCGTGGCCAGCTTGTCTCTTATTGGCTGGTGAGGAGAATTGATTGATCATCAATAGTATTGATGATTTTCACCTGTCTTTTATTTCATATAACAGTTATCATATACCCATGTATATGTATATAGTAAAGTTGCATAATGTGATCATTAATGATTCAAGGATTTCATATCATTTTTAAATGCATCTAATTCTTCGATGACAGAACTACATGTACTACTAGTACTACTCATAGATTTCGACCTGTCTACATTGCCTTTAGTGTTGTATACTATACTATAATAGAATATGTTTTATTTAGCAATCTGGTGCTCCATGTATTGTGTTGCTATAACGTTATATACTTTGAATGAAGAACTTGTAACTTTTCTACTGTATGACAAACTGAAGTTGATATATTTTTATTCCAGCCTGTTCATGATAGGTGTGATCTGGCTCTTCAGGAAGTACAGGTCCTTTGTACAGGTGAGAGATCAGTTAGTACATGTAACATCTCTGTCCATAATATCACCAGGGTCCATAATATCACCAGGGTTCATAATATCACCAGGGTTCATAATATCACCAGGGTTCATAATATCACCAGGGTCCATAATATCGCCACCTTGAGAAACAGAGTGCTTTAAGATATTAAAGACTGCAACATACTTTTGGTACGCACTCCTTCACACATCAAATGTACATACCTAGGGTATGTTGCAGTAAAAATATCTTCAAGCACACTTTTTCTCAAGGTGGCGATATTATGAACCCTGGTGATATTATGGACACAGATGTGCGTTATATCAGTTAAGTTATTAAACTACTTTAGTCATTGTATTTCTTCAGCTAACAGGTGAGTACATCTAACTTCTAAACAGTGAGTCAAACTTGTTTTCTTACTAGTACACAACTTTGTGAAGAGGATCTCATACCAACAGTCTTCTAGATAAGGGAATAAATACTAATGCGGTGATTGGCAGCTTCTGTAAGTTTGTCCATATCTGATTTTTCTCGTGTTGTTTCAGAGACTGATCCTGTACTTGAGTATAGCAGCCCTGCTGGATGATATTTCATATCTCATGGTGAGGAATTCAATATATTACATCAAACTTCTGCCTGACTGAGATCAAGCCTTTATATCCACAGTTTGCGTACTTTAGCCTAAGAGTCTACCAGGCTACTCTGTTGCTGGAAAAAAGGCACCAAGAGCTAAATACCTAGAGAGACTTTTGACTCTGAACTGAACCATGCACAAACCAGCACCAAGATACCATGTCTAGCAAGATATATTAGACTTTATACAAGGACAGCAACAAATTAAAAAAAAAAAATAGAATTTGCCATCTATAGACAAAATGTCGTCATCCTAATTCTGAATTATTTTGAATGTTACTCTTTGTTACAGGGTGACCTCCACCCAGATGGAACCCTGTGTAACTTCCAGGCCTTCCTCCTCACGTTCTTTGGTAAGAGATGAGTTTACTAGTATGTCTTTTGTCTTGTGTTGAAGTTAATAGTACATGTTGTAGTATCCAGTCTTTGATTATAGTCTGCCGCTAGGGTCCCTGATAGAAACACGGGTGGGCAGCAGTTGGCTCATATTCACAACAACATAATCGACCCAGTAAGACTAGCTCCAAGTTAAGGCTAATGTGTAAATTAGAATAAAGAAAACATGAATAATTGTTTTCAAAGTCATATCCAGTTGCTTGAGTTCCAAAATAGTAATCATATCCAGTTGCTTGAGTAACTGCTTTTTGGCGTATCTTATTACCTGGATGTCTAACCTTCATCGACGTAAAACAATTCTTCATCACATATCCCTGTTATTCTCCTTCTCCAGAGTGGTCAGTGTTACTCTGGGTGTGCTGTATCACCTTCAACTTGACCCTGAACATCATCTGGATGACTCGAACCGACAAGTATGAGATGTAAGTACAGTTTATGTGTCTCTCCTGACCTATAGTTGAATGGAACTTGTGTAAACTCTGTTACTTTTGGCCTAGATGTCTACCTGAAAGTTGATTGTTTTGAAAGGTAGCAAACGCGTACCTCCAAATTTTCAACGTTCACTGTGCGCCTAGTCTCACAAGCTACCTTTCAAAAGGTATGATTACTACTAATACTAGTAAATGAATAATCTACTGACTGTTAATCTATACATGACCAATGAACGTCTTCAACAATTAAACATACAAGTTTCTAACTGTCCAACTCTATTAGTAATTAATCAATGATGATATCATGCCTTCCCCTGTCCAGATTCTACCATGCGCTGTCGTGGGGGGTTCCCCTGATCCTAGCCTGCCTCCCCTTCATCGGGCATCACTATGGACCGGCCGGGGCTTGGTGGTATGTTTGTTTGTTTGTTTAGTGTTCAAAATTTACGGCCTAACTGCTGCTTGTATTCCTTTGGTTGTTATCTGCATTTCAGAAATTTGACAGGACTTTAGCTAGTAACGGTTACAATTGAGTGTTCAACTCAGCCTAAAGGATGTGTATATCTCATGGAGTGACGTTCTGTAGTTTCAATAGTTGATTATTGATGTATAGTGTATATTTATGAGATATGTTACGATGTTTATGAATTTGATATGAATTTATTATACATTTCTATATCTGTACTGCACATTAGATACATGTACTAGATAGATAAAGACTTCCAGCTTAAGAATTCTCATGCCACCATTTACTGAATTCGATTCCGATGCAAAAATATCTAATTCAGATGTTTTTTCCTCTCTGTGTATTTCTACAGTTGGATACCAAACCAGTACACACACTGGAGGTTTGGCATGTAAGTTTCCGTCTCTGTATTTACATATTGATCCTTGTAATCTTTCTAATCTATTCTGATCAGCAAGTGTGCTGGGTTCTTTGACATACTAAGCTGCTGTTTTCTCCCCCTCCGTTCACAGATGGTACGGCCCGTTGTTCTGCCTTCTGGGATTGATGGTTGTGGTCTACACCTGTATTACTGTTACTCTCAACAGGAAGGTGGGTTAACCCTAACCCTTTGCATTTCTTGTACAAATTTCATAGATTAAGGCCACATCAATTTGACTGCTTGGTTTTTGGATTTAAAGATGGAAAACTGAATGGAAGAATGTTACAGTATATGAAAACAGATCCTGAGTTGAAATTCTGTACCTTCGTACATGATACACATATTTTCAGGGAATGAAATTTCTTACTTATTGTTCTTTCCAGTCCTTTCTTTTTATCTAGGTTTTGTCACCAAAGAAACAGATTTGTTTAGCCTTAGGAATCTTTGAGTTACTAGTACTCACTATACTGTGCTTGAGACTGAGTAAAGATGTTTTCTGTTCTTTCCTCCTGCAGGTGAAAAGATGGGAGGGAACCTATGATCCTGATGTGGAGAGGAACAAGGTAGGAAAAACATTTTTTAACACAGTTTCTGTGCAAGATTATCCCTGTCAGCAATTCTCAATTCTTTTCTTTTTTGTGTGTTACCTTTGAGTAACACATTAGTTTTGTTTAGTAAGTACAAGCTGTGTAAGACAAGACTGCATGGTCTGTCATCAATTCTTTTTTCTTATTTGCGTGAAACCTTTGAGTAATACAATGTACATGTATAGTAAGTACAAGCTGAATAAGACAAGACTGTAATGTTTTGTCTCATCTTGAAGTTTCCTTTTTTCTCCTGCAGGACCTGTTGAAGGAAGACATCAAACCCCTGAGAGCCTATCCCTTCATCTACCTGGCCCTGTCTATCTTTCCTCTCGTGCACAGGTAACATATAGGTCACACCTGGCTAAATGTAGTAGAAACAGATAAGGCTAGACTGTTATGCTAACCCTCAGTGTTCTTAGGCAGCTATTTGGCACAAAAACTTGTACTGGTTAATTGGTTATGGGGTTAGGCAGTAGAAAGAAAGGTTAAACATTTGTTTGCTTGCTAATTTGTGTTAGTGGAAGTACATGACAGAAACAAGTAATGTATTGTATTAACCTTGAGTCCCCACACCAAAAAAGTCAGTGGTGCAAAATGAGACAAAAAAAAAAAACCCAGCTGGTACCTGGTGGTGGTGGTTAGACGGTGGTCACCTGGGTTAGGTAGCAAGGAAAAAGTTAAACATTATGTGTTTTTCGTCCCTTCCTCAGAATCCAGAATGCCGTCTCCCCTGACAACACAGTGTTTGCTCTGGTTGTTCTTCATGCCCTGACATCCCCGCTGCAAGGTACTGTGAACCTAGAAATGTTTGTGGTGGTTTTTTCTTTGCAGTTTCAGTACTACTGTGCTACATATATAACTATTTCAATGAGATTTTTCAGTTGACAGTGTTTTGTTAGCCTGAGTACCATCCCGTCCGCTCCCACAGTCCCTTAACCATGGTATGGTCATTAGCGACTGTGGGAGCGGAGGTAAACTAAATAACCAGGATGGTACCCAGGCTAGTGTTTTGTCTTATCCATTCCCAATGTACTACATGTAGGTATCACTACTTTAGTACAGACAGGAATTTTCTGTTGACATGGTGTTGTTTTGTGTGTGTTTACAGGGATGGTGAATGCGATTGTTTACGGACTGGACAGGGAAACTATTGTACGCCTCACTCCAACGTCCATCAAGGTACACCTTCTTTTCTTCTTTCTTATGATAAACTGGACAGCGAGTGAGTGTCTTGGGACTAAAGCTTTGTTTTAGGGTTTGTGTGTGTTTCTCGTCCAGGTCTAAAGTATTGTTTTGGGTGGCCAAGGTGCTGGTTTGTGGGTATGTTTGTCTGGACAGAATAGGTTGAGAGCACAAGAATGGGAGGGAAGATTGACAGGCAACATGGCATTAGGTCAAAGGACTCAGAATCTGGCTTGTGGAAGTTGGTAGTGGGGTAGGTCCATGTAGGGAGTTCAGGAAGCAGAGGTTTAGAGGGAAGATGACATGAGGCAACATGACGGTCAATTTTGCTGGTGGGGGCTGAGAATGGGCAGGGAATTTTGGGAGGCCAAGGATTGCATACTTTTTGAGGGTTGCCACAATTTCTAGAAGTCTTAAATTTCTAATTTCTTGTTAACCTGTTCCCAGCTTGCGATCCAAAGTCACTTCAACCAGCCGACCCTCATCAGTGAGTACCCATCAGCCCCTGTGAATTCCCAGGATGCATCAGCTGACCTTTCACCTGTGGTTGACCCTGAGGTTGACCTCCAGGACCAGGAGGAGAGCTGACAGTTACTCACAGCCACCGAGTAAAGAACTACCATCAAAAACAAATAAAAAATCTGGACTTTTTTTACATTATATCTCTCAAAAATTAAACTAGACTTTGGACTGGATCCTAAGAGTAAAGACATTAAGAAGACATTGTTGGGAAGTTTCAAAAATAAAATTCTTGACTGAAATTGTGTTCCAAATCCTGGAGGTTGAATCTCAAGTAAAGAGGTTGAATCTCCTTGTTCAAATCAGGTGATTTTTGCAATTGGCAAACACAAGATAGGTGCAAGTTGACAAATAAAGTAAACAAGTAAAAAAATTATGAGATTTGCAAATACAAACCAATTGAACTTTTTAAAGGAGATGTCAAAATAAATATTCCGTATTTTGGTAAAATTGTAGTTGTTGATTCCGTGATGGTTTGATGATGGTAGTCCTTTAATTGGTGACTGTGAAGAATTGTGAGCTGCAAAATTGCAAACACAATGCAAATATCAAAATTACAGCAAGTAGAAAATGTATAATAATATATCTTTTAATGATAATGCAGTGGTGATTTTCAGTATTGTAAATACTAAAGTACCAGAGGGTGGAAGAATTTGTTAATGGTGTGTTTTTGTACATTAGTTCGTGTTTTGGCGTTTGATTATTCTTTTACATCCATACATGCTGTAATTTAGGCCAAATTACTTTCTTTATTTTCTGAGGGTTTGAGGTAAAAATTAGAGTCTTATAAAAACAGAAGGCGAAGAAAATTTGAACGTGAATCTTTATTGACCCCCAAACTGGGTCCAGCTTGGAGATTTCAGTCATACTGAAACATCTAAAACTAAAAAAAAAACTTGAAATGAAAGTTGTATTCCTTTATGTCTTATATTGTAATTGTGTAAAATGCATCCATTTCTTCATGTATATCTTGATAATTGACAAATCTGTATTCATGTCTGTTTACATATATTATATATACTGTCATATATTCATATATTATACTCAACTTATCTTTACAATAATTATTGCATATTTGTTTTTGTTCTGTTGGCATTACTCTACTACAATAACACTACGCTTTAAACTGTTAAGTTTATTTGGCTTACATGCATACAGCATAGGTTGCCAATCTAGCAACTAGCTATTATTTAAGTGCACTTAAACTGTCAACTAGTGCATGACACATAAGACTTTGTCATTTACACAATAATTCCTTCAAGAAATAGAAAGATAACTAAGTAACTCCTTAGTAAGTACATGAACTATCACATAGTAAATACAATTTACATTCCACCACTGCTCAAATTATACTGGACAATATGGTAGAAAATTTTCCATCCCAAGCAAAGCATATAAAGATTGTAAATCTCTTGAGTTCATAATATATAACTGGAACTATAGGCTATAGAAGTACCACATCACAGGGTAAAGCATTGAACTGCAAAACTTGTCTGTACATCCACTATAAACAAGGAGGGCAAAAATCCAGATATAAACTTTGCTATAAGCAATTCAGTAATGATATTTTTCTAGAAATAAGAAATTAAACTGGTCCAGGAATAGCCTTAACATTCTTACTGCCGACTTTACTATACAAATACAAGTACAAATACAAATTTGTTTCCAAATGGCTACTAGTACTTAGAAAGCTGAATGTTAAAATAGCTCCTACAGAGACAACAGGCGAGCCCCAAAGTATGTCCCAGACTCCTGTGGGTTGACTTTATCAAAGTTTGTCACGTCCACATGCAAGACGTCTCCCGCCTTTAGGTGGAAGGTTCCGCCCACGTAAGATGTGCGATACCACGAACCGTCTTGGGGGGAAACTTTCTTGGTGGCTCGTCCAATCAGAAGCCTCGACGCTACCCCTGAAGAGCCGCTTCGCCGTAACACGATATGGGTGAGGTGGAGGGTCCGCTCGTCCGCGCCGCCTGGCGAGGTTTGCCGGAACTGCAGCTGGTTGTAGACGTAGTAGTATCCTGTGAGCGGTACGACTATGTTTTGTCGGGAGGTGACGTCCATGCCGTGCGTCCAGAACGACGACCCGCCTGGCTCAACTTGCCAGTCGTGGATAGTTGAGATGGACCCTGGGACAAAATAAAGTATACAATTCATGTCACAGAGATCATTTTGGAACTATACAAAGCATTTGGTGACCCGAAACCTACCGTATACCTTACTAGTACATGTACTACTGCAGAAATCTGGCTATTTGCGAAGGAAAGTATATAAAGTAAGGAAAAGAAGACATTTTCAACTGAGGTGAAGCATGTGATGCTTTGTCAAGTACCCGATTCCCAGACCCCGATTCCTATGGTCCCATAATATTTGTGAAACAAAGATACATGTATGCTTCCAAGTAACTACGTGTGTATATTATACACGTACCTCTTAGCACTACCCTGTATTATAGTGTGTAGCTACACACTTTCACTAGGCATAATCCTAGATGTCGATTTTGCCGAGAGTTATTTAATCAAACCGGCCTACTGGTAGTCCTACTGTACTTGATTAAATATGTCTAGCGTCAGTCTACAAAAGGGGGAAAGAGGTATAAAAAAAGCACTTTTGGACAGAGGTTAGTACTGTAATTAATTTCCTACCTTCTTGACTGGGTGGGTCCTGCAGTCCCGTCAGTCCCGCTAGGTGCGCCACAGGCACGTGAAGGCTGCTGCATCTGGGATGGTCTCGCGTCACGAGCCGGTATGGAAAACCGCCTAACATGCCACCGCGGCTCGCGGCACTGGCAAGAGCGGCGGTTCTATATAATATGCCGTCAAACCAAGATGGCGTCGACCACCCACGGGATTTTTTCCTGCTATTGACAGGATGTAGACTGTCAGTACATGGATTATCCCCGCTACTGACATGCTGTACATAGCAAGAATATTTAGTTATCGGAATCATAGAAACAAAACAATAAATGCCAGGGTGTATCACAAGGCCCTGGTCTCCATACACGAGTTGGGCTAACTAGACCATCTGAGATAACATTAACGGAAGGGGTCCTTATTGCCTAGTCGGGCTGGAGTCCAAAGTCCGGCATAGTTAAGTCATAATAAAAACTGCCACGAGAGGCTGAAATTCAAAATGCTGTCTATTTGGCCCTGGTCTCTATACCAGTTGGGCAAACAAGACCATCTGAGATATGTTCACGGGAGGGGTCCTTAGTCGGGCTGGAGTCCAAAGTCCGGCATAGTTAAGTGTCATAATGGAAAACTGCCACGAGAGGCGGAAATCCAAAATGCTGTCTCTTTTCAAGGAGAAAGACTTTTAGAATAGAACTTTTTTTGCTTTCCCAACTCCACAGTACCCGCACTGTTATATTTAATACCCATCTTAACACCAGTGTGCTTAATTAACCCAAAGAGCCACGCCTCCAATGCCTCATAATGGGAACTGCCACGAGAGGCGGAATTTAAAAACGCTGTCTCTTTTCAAGGAGAAAGACTTTTTGAATCGAACTTTTTTGCTTTCCCAACTCCACAGTACCCGTACTGTTATATTTGATATAATATTAACACCAGTGTGCTTAATTAACCCAAAGAGCCACGCCTCCAATGTCTCATAATGGGAACTGCCACGAGAGGCGGAATTTAAAAACGCTGTCTCTTTTCAAGGAGAAAGACTTTTAGAATAGAACTTTTTTGGCTTTCTCTATTCTACGGTACCCGCACTGTTATATCTGATACCCATCGTAACACCAGTGCTTAATTAACCCAAAGAGCCACGCCACAAATGTCTCATAATGGGAACTGCCACGAGAGGCGGAAATTAAAATGCTGGCTCTTTTCAAGGAGAAACACTTAGAATAGAGGAATAGTTTTTTTTCAACTACATCTTACCCGTACTAGCTGTTGTATCCCATACCCCTCTTCAGTGTGCATAATTAATCCAAAGGGCGTTATGCAAAGCACATTTACATTGACCGGGAGAGGACCCCTACCTAATCACTAACTTCGGCCAAGTTATATGTATCATATCTGCTTTCCACGTACATGGGCATGTATACCGAAAGAAAGGAAGCACATGGTTTGTGTTTTCCACGGCCTTTTCAGAATGATATTTTCCGTACTTTTCCATAATGACTGGCGAGTTTCCTGTCAATAAGAAAAGGTACAAACGACGACGAATTGCACGAACAGTATGTTGTTCTGACCAGATGCCGTACCTGTTGGTCCTGTTGTATTCGGGCAGGGCGTTTTTCAATTGTGAATGTATTATCTCTTCCAAGCTGTGTAGGGGGTAGGACTCCCACCAGCAACACATCTGGTATGAATTAAGATCAATAAAGAACAGGGACCCACATCCATGTATCAGTCTTGTCCAAATCGTGGTCGAGTGTGGACATCCTTCTATCACTTAGCCTGGGTTCCATCCTGGTTAGTTTACGTCCGCTCCCACGGTCGCTACCGACCTACCGGTTGGTCGGTAGCGGACGTAAACTAACCAGGATGGAACCCAGGCTATCTATCACTAGTATCAGCCTTCAGTATATATAACAGCGGTGAACAGACTCTACAACTTCATCATCGCCGAAAACGAGGAATGCTTCTATAACGTTGTATCTAAAACCAGAAGTAATGATGCATGGCCCAAGGTCATCCACCAAAAGGCCCAAACCAACAACATTGATCTTTATCTTCCCAAGGTCTACCTACACTATTAGAATCCATCCAGAGGTTCTTCAGTTATGCTGACGACAGAACGACAATACTTGTACCTTCATTTTTGGAGGCTATACTAGTAGAATAAGTAATCTCCTACGTTATATATATAGTATCTGTATGTTTTGCCGTAACTCCGCTTTGAGTGAAACAATATACTCGTATTTCAAGTATTTAATAAATTTCCAACGACAGTTTAGTTTGTCGCCAGAGAATGAAAGAAGACGGTGACCCCAAGCAAAGTTTTCTGTCCCCCATCTCTTTAATGTGACATTCCAATTTCCGGTGGCACGAGCGGCGGTGCCACGAGCCGCGGTGCCACGAGCGGCGATTCTCTCGGCTCGAGCTCATCCCTACTCGGCTGCTGTTGACTTGCTGCCGTTGCCATGGGATACAGTCTGGGCAGATAGAACATGGTTGCCATGGTTACTAACTTGTACCCATTATTTTTTTGTTTATTATATCACAGAACCATCAGAACTGACGATATGTTTATGTACAGCAAACGTGAATATATACATATAACATAAGGATAATACAACGTAAGGGGCAAAATAACAAATGAAATAAATCACATTAAAAATGAACAGATATTTACCTTTGCTGCAGTTCCCTGCCTGCTCGTTAATCTGGTGGAAAACAAAATTAAACAAATACACCATTTATCCTCAAGACTTCACCTTTGTTTCACAAGAATTCTAGTCTTAGATATTGTCCTCTCGCGTCTAATGTTACTTTCGGTCCTTATTAACAGAATACTCTTCCTTTCAAGACACCGAAACAAACGCGCGAATGCAAGACAACTTGAAGGTTCTCAACTTCCACATTGTAATGAAGGCCCCTATCCTTACCTTAAGACACAGATGTACTTAAAGACGTGACTCACCTGAGCTGCAGTGACTCCTGTCTCCACACCTGTCCCGTGCCCCCCTCCCCCGGCTGTGCACGCCTGCCACAGCCGCTGTATGTTCACCGTGTTGAACACCGCCATCCCCATGTTAGCCACAGTCACTAAACACAGCACGGCGTGCGCGGCTCTAACCACCGGGCCGACCTGCGCTCGCCGGCGGGCCTGTCTCAACCCCCTCCCGCCCGCATATCTCACTCCTCCCGGTGGCGACTTCACGGGGATGGCATCCATAGCTGGCTCCATGCTGAACACTTTGGTAAAGCTCACCATCCGAACGGCCCTTTTTAACGCCTGTATCTGCCTACTGGTTTTGGTCGTGTTCGATACTAGCATGGTTTGTAACGTTACGTACCGATACTCGTACTTTCGCCTGTTTGGTTTCGGTCGCTAGACAAACAGGTTTTACAATAGCGGGGTCGCCTCACCTGGCCTCGGGCGGCGCGGCGCTTTGTTCTCCCTTCAAGTCGCCCCACTTCAGGTGAGGCACCAAAACAAAGCACCTACCTCAACACATACGTCTAAGCACAATCTTAATGTCTGTGTTATCTTGTCTGGCCCCTTGAAATAGCCTCCATAGAAGGCTCCATGTCTTATTACATGTTTTATTTCTGGCTGTATCAGTTCTGATTGTATAAGGTTTCTTGTAAGCCGTCTTAGAAAAGGTCCGCAGTGGAGCCTGCTAAAGAGGCTACCTTCATATTCATAACAGCCACCGGCTGAAGCTATAATTGACAGGACTGGTGGTATGCATGATTGCCATAGCCTAATCAATAAATGAATTATACATATACCTGGAGAAACTATTGCTTTAGAGAAATTTAGAAAAGACACAAGAAAGTGTGACTTCATCACCATGATTTTCTGTCGGAAACTTTGGAATTTCTGTATTGTAGCATACTGAAGTAAACGGAAACATGACATAGCAGGAAGGATGTGTTATAACAGTTATATATAACGGAACGTGAAACCTCGCTGTCATAGTCAGAAACAGGTTGGACGGTGGGGCTTCCTATAACTTCCTAAACTCTGATTTAAATATTTACTATTTCGATTGGTTTGGACTTCTAACGTTTGCAAAGAAGGCTGTGGTAGCAATATTGTTTATGGCTACTGGTTAGAACAGAAAACAGAAGAACATAGGAAGCCATGCATGTATTGTTGTGATATGCAATACTTAATACAAACAATACACTATTGTATTGTCATTCTTCAACCCCTCACCCCTCCAAAGACCGACGTATTGGTATCGACCGTGGCATACCCGTATGTTAGCCTCCTGTGCAGACGTATCTAGCGGCATGCGTGTGTTTCTATGTGCGGTGTTTTCTTTTCGCTGGGAGATCTAGAGCTGTATGTGGTGATCCAAAAATGTAGCTGTTTCGGCCGCTTAGCTTTAGGTGTACCCTCCCATACAGCTCTCGCCAATACACATCTCCCACTGCGAGAAAGAAACCGCCCTGTTCATAGAAACAAACACAGGCAGTGCTAGCAAAGTCCGCGACGGAGGCTAGTGTATATGCCACGGTCTGTACCCATAGAAATATTTTTAGTTATTGTTATTATGTGTATTTAGTATTATTTATATAATGTATGTTAACTTTATTTTATATACCTGAGTGATGCCTGAAATAAATAATGAGTAAACAAATAAACAACACAGGCATTGCTAGCTAGAAACGACGGTACCGAAGGCTAGGTATACCTGTACTGCAAATCACAGAGCGAAAAGTACTTGAGTAATATCAGGATTTACCTCGATAGTACTTAACAGGTAAATGTTCCTAGGGTGCAACGCTCCCATGGATCGGGAGGGGGCGCTGCCGCACTGACGTAACGACATGTGACGTCAGGTGAGAACAGAAATCTCGGGGTCGAAAGTCAGGGACTTGTTTTGTGGCTATGTTAGTGTGAAACACGAGACATGACGCAACCGCGCTGTACTATAAGCATTCCGCTTCGTGTCGAGCATTGAGAATCGTGGTCGAACTGCTTTACGTACTTGTAATTTAGCCTCCACCAGGCCTTCCTATTAACCCTTGTCCTGCTGGCAAACATGTATTTTACACATTGTCAATATTTTCAGCTCACGGAACCCAGATTTTCTTTGCCCTGCGGTGGCGTAGTTACTTCCGCATTCGTTGCGTTTTGCTGCGGTATGATGTGTTCGAGAAATACCTCTAAATGTAGTATATATAGTGATATACAGGACGCTATAAAGATGGGCCCCGCAGGACAAGTGCTTTAAAGGGCTCACTGATACGGAAAAATACAGGAATTAATAATTAGCCAGGAGAGTGACCTGCGGTAAGGGTAACATTGCGTCTCCGGTGAATGAACTCTGAGGTGGCCAAACTCCCTCCGCGAGTTAATCATTCTCCGACAGCCAGCGTTGTTTGGTTTGGTTTATTTAGATCCACAATTAGCTTAACAATTCATATTGCAGCTATTCTTCCTGTGGTCAATTAACATATACACCTGACACACATAAAATAACTTATACAGACATAAACATGTACAGAAACTCCACAAAAACACCAAGTGACAGAACAAAGCTAGCTTACATGACCGCCATATACCTAAAATACCTATTTTACATTTCTCCAAAAGTTGTTGCACATTGTTCCATGCCTCTACAATTTCATAGTGTTCCAGGTGTGTGACATCCGATACAAAAAGCGTTTTCTCTGAGCATTTGTTCTAGGTTTGGGGAGACGGATAGTTTGTGACTTTGTTGATCTGGTTTGGTACCCATGTGACTGAAACGTGATCTGTTTATACAGGGAAACGGGCTGTCTGTTCTCCATCATTTTGCGAAAAGTCAAAAGGTCTTTCTGTTGAATCCTCTCTTTCACGGGCAACCACCCCAACATCTGCAACAAAGCGCCCTTGCTTGTGGATCTGTTGCATCCGAGGGCAAGCCTCGCAGTTCTGTTTTGTATCACTTGCAGCCGCTTTATGTTCTTCTCTGACGTACTTGCCCACACTGAACTACAGTAGTCTAGGTGTGGGAAAGTACCAGGGCTTGCGTTGTTATTGTATTGGAGACTACTTCTATACTACTTTGTTATTTGTGGCCCGGGGTAGCCTGGTATCCAGTCTTACGTGGTAGGGGCGGGTTTTCCTCAACCCAACAGCCCCAATCACGTAAGACTGGATACCAGGCTAGGCCCAGGGCCCACTGTTAGTGTACTGAAGGCTGCTTGTATGGTACTCTGTGTTATGTATGCCCCAGGCTAGGACCCCACTGTAAAGTGGTGGTTATTTTACACCATAGAAGTAGGGTAAATACGACGGAAATGAATGATTGAATGCACCTTACTTTATTCAAACCCTCTTCTTGTCCTTGTGTAAAGTTTCTTATTGTCTTCACAGCCCCCATAGCCTGGTTACCAAACCTATTATAGCTCCCGAGTCCTACAGCCCCTCTGTTATTTTTGGAGAAGATGTACTCGTAGGACTCGGGAGCTATAATAGGTTTGGTAACCAGGGTACAGCCCCCACGTTCTTAGCTGCCACCTATCGAAAGACTCGAAACCATGCAATGGTTGACTGGGACGTCACTATAGGAAGAACTGAAGGTACAAAAAAAAAACAATGCCAAAATCTTTTCGTTACCGACGTCGCAACGTACCAATTCTAAACTTTCAGTGGGAAAACGTTTAGAGACATTTAGAACATATATGAAAATAAATCATTGACATTGCTGTAATAAGTCTATTTTCGTAACACCATAAGGCATTTTCATCGAATCCAGAATGCCGAATGCCCCATCCAGACGCTCTGGTAAAACTTACTTCCGGGTTAGTTTCATCGACAATAGAAACCCCCTTACAGGCCCCCTCTTAAAGCGTTTTTCTTGGTTTCGCCGAACACGGAATCCCCCATACATGCCTTCCGGTAAGGCCCGTTCCCAGGGTACTGCATGTAAGTAATGACGTCACAGACGCTCCCGTTGTTCTCGTTCCCAGCGACGTGAGGACCTGTGTTTCGGTGGGCGGGTGGTATACAGTAAGCCGGGTCACGTCAAACGGCATGCTAAAGACTTGGGTTAGCTTCAGTAGTACCTATGCATTCATACCCCAGATTTTGTGCAATGCATAAGAATTTCACAAAATTCTAAAAACCATAAATTATTATGAGATAGAGAACTGACGAAATGGATTAAAGTCTTATGATCCTCGGGTTTGGGTAAAGCCACGTGTACTTGGTTACAAGTATGAATGTATAGATTATGATCTCTAAGCCGATCTTATGGTGCAATTTTGTTCCTTTTCCTATCAGAAGTGAGTCCTACGGTGATCCGTACAATTAGTATTTGACACCCAAATGTATCAAAATTAGGCGCAAGGTGATCAAAATAAAATTGATATTGTAATCAAAACAAAGATCTTTACAAGAAAATGCACAATATAAAAAAATCTATCCCTGACGTTGAACGAAGTGGACCAAGGTTTCGTTCTATGGTTTCAGGTAATGCTATTCACCGCTTCCAGGATGATCATGATGATCAACACTAAAATCTGTGTTTAAGGCTTTGTGGCGCAGGACAGTGTTGCCATGTAAAGGGTATTGATCGGCATTAAGCACTTTGCTCCTTTTGGCACGTCAATTGACCGTCAGGGCGTTCACCCCTAGTAACACCGCCGCTTACCGGGTCTGGTTAATGCAAAGGTCGACTTTTATATCATGATAAGTTTTATTATTTCTTGCTTATGTTTCCTTTAATTTGACACTCTGTACCGTGTACATTATCAAGGTCACTAGATGTACTATTATTTACTCTTTGCTCCTTTAATACCTCCTTTGTTTTGTTATAATTAGTCATACATACGATATGTACATATAGACCAACTCTCTGTAGTAATCGGCCTGCAGGACGTTCACCTTAAATGGCACCTCCGTCTCTATAAATAGTTACCGGGTCTGGTTTGTGCAGGCCATGAGTTTTTAATGGAAGAGTTTGGAGATGTTACGGCACGTACCTACCACTATTGCTAAGTCTGTGCAATTAAAGCATGCAGTATCGCGGCATGTTCTTTACCCGCTGTACACTTAAGGGTAAAGGACCGAGGCCTGTGGCAATGGCCGGTTGTAATTTGGACACCATCTCTGTATAATTAACGTATCTGTATCTGCATAGCGGCCGGTATAACTTCGGCGTAACACACCAGCTTAAAGGACGTATCTTATAGTATGCTTTTATAAGAACATTAAA